CCTAACTGCTAATCCTATTGAGTCATCTGTAAACGTGTCTATTGCAAGTAAGGTATATTTATTTAACTTAGCAGTGGGTTATCCAAGCCTTCATGTAATCTATATTGTAGCATCGGGCGTAATCGAATATATTTGACCGCGGTCTGGAATCCTGTAGCTAAATACTTGAGCCGTTGAGCGAAAACAAATGTTAAGACTTGTTTTGTTTTGTTTTAATTTAAAAGGAAATTTTAAGACATCTTTTTGATTTGAATAATCTATGTTAAAGTGTTTGTATCACAGATGAATAACACAGCCAGAAAAAATCTGCGAGCCATTCATATCTAAACGACTTTTTAGCTTTTTCACCTAAAGAAGGTAAAATGTAATTTTCAACCGGTTTAAAAGCATTTTTAATTAACAAAAAAAATATCAGACATTTTTAGACCTTTAGCTCTTTCGTGATTAGTAGCTACATCAAATTGTGAATAAAGTAAGGCTTTACATGCATATCTTCAATGGTTTCTTCAGAAACAGCACCTATTTCTCTAGCCCAAGAAATAATATCAGGTTTTTCCACTTTTGTGAAAACTTACTGATATTTTCAGACCTTTCTTCTGTCACTTTTTTTATGGCACTGAGCATGTTGGACCCGAAATTGTCCTTTCAGTTTGGCTGGGAAAAATACTTTAGGCACAAAATGATTAGGTCAGAAACATTAAGCTGATTTAACTACATGTTCATGAAAAAACAAAAGATAAAATCTGCTGATTTCTTAACTGTTCTCCTTTGGACAAAAGAGAGAGTTGAATATTGATTCAAGCCTGCTGTCCACAATCAGGAAAGTAAGTAAACTTTTTGTCTCCAACACAGAAGAAATGGCTTTAATGCAAAGACAAGATCAACACTTACAAAACCAGAATCTGGATATTCTCGTGATAGTCTCGTCAAAGGAAAAATATTCTTTTTCAAGGTGTTCAACGACCTCTTTGACGTCACATTAAAACGCACCATGCTCTTAGTTTTGTTCTCAATATTAATTGAAGCGTTGCTCTTCTGTTGGAGCTTAATGAATACAGGGTACTTGGCACGTCCAAAAAGAGATCTCTCTGTTTCGTTTGTAGATAAACATAGTTTGCTTAAATTGATAATTTCTTTGAAAATTAATTTGAAAGAAGTATTGACTCTTTCTTTTCACGTGTTGAAGATACACAATCATGTGCCTTACTAAGCGTTGCCAATTTACCTTTACCTTTTCAATTTGAGAAAATCTTCTTGAGAACTGGCGAAGAACTATTTTTGTAATGTGTTTTCTTCATTGCTTACAATTTTTCGAAGCTTTCATCCAACTCATTAGCCAAAATCACCTTATCGTCTTTAAAAGAAATACAAATAATGTTAAACATTCTTTTTCCTTGAGCCCATGTCGTGGCTTTTCAACTCATTTTCAAGTCAGCATAATTCAAATGGCAGCACATGTTATGAAAAACACTATTTGGTATGATCTTGCATGTTGTTCAATAGTCAGATGGCTTCAATAATGTCTTCAGTATTTGTTTTGGTGTTTTGTCTCCACTATTCTTATATTGAAATGTTTTTGTTATACCTGTTTACTTATATATGTTCCGCTCGTCGTTTTACTCTGTTTATTCGTTTTACCGAATGTCCTAATTTGACTTTGCCACAAACTTTCGTAAGTGAAATCAGTAAGTGAAATCAACCAATGAAGTTCTTTCATCACTTTTTTATACTTCCATTGTCTGAACTTTCGTTGATTTCAATGAATGGCAATCTTCTTTTTGCCACACCAAGTACACGGTCCGAAGCATAGCGATGGTTTCTATGAATTTTGCGACTACGTTTGCCAATGAAGATGCGTTCGATATTAACCACGCTAGACTTTGCATTTCTTGCTTTTTCAATCCACTTGATTTCAGAGGTTTCAACATCCATTTGACAAACAACAAACATGTATGTAATGAAAAGGTCATTTGTGGCTACAAAGATGGGTTTACCATCTCCACCAAGTTCTTTTACAGGATGTGTATCGATCAACGAGTTGTAATGCACTCCTACCAAAAATGTGTATGAACAGCGGATGTATAATCCAACTTATGATTTCCCATTGTTTACTTGCTTACAAGTCAAAGCATCAATAAGTTCATACCTACCGACCTTTGGCAACGCACCATTGCCTGATATGCACTCCTCTGTCAAACGGTTGGAGGATTTGATCAATTTGTTTTGCTGTGTCTTAAATTTCTAAAACAGTTATTTTCAGAATTTTCAGGTTAATGCTCTAATTCTAAAACAGTTCTTTTTCGAACATTTGATTTTTTCTTTGTTTTTTTCTGGTTAGTTTTTCTGTTTAGTTTTTTTCTCGGTTTTATCTAGGTTTTCGTGGTTTTTTATTTGGTTTCAGTCCATTCACCATGGCAATTGCTCTCCTATAGTCAATAAAACTTATCGAAGTTATGTAAAATGTTGCTTTCCTAAATTCCTAATGCGGGTTGCTATGTTTAAAAAAACTTGATTTTATTTATCAATTACTTTTTACCATATACTCATTTTTTTCTCTATTTTGAATATTGACTGAAAAATTTCTGTTTTTGTTTTCAGCTAAACCAAACGTGATAATCAATTGTTCAACTCCTCTGGTTGTGAATGAAGGTGATAATGTGTCATGTGTATGTAGAGGTGAAGGAGGTAACCCTCCTGCTAATGTCATGTGGTTTGATAAAGATAACAACATAATTGGTGGTGTTGGAGTTGTAAATAAGACATTAGTAATCACTAATGTTACATTGAATGATGGTGGAAATTACACATGTAAAGCACAAAGTCATAATGATCCACGTTTTAGAGATGAAAAATCCATTGAAGTAACAGTGAAAGGTACTTGTAAGTTTGTAAGACAACATTTCAGATCTCATTATAAACGTTTGTGTAGAATGTTGAATTTAATTTTATTCTTTACAGATCCACCACAACAAACCAAGATCACCATCAGTCCAATGTCAGTAAATAAAGGTCAAAATGTGAAAATAACCTGTGAATCAGATGGTTATCCTGAACCAACCTACACTATTTATCATAATGGTGCAGTTATCAGTAATAATAAGACATACATCATTCAATCTGTCAACTTCAATCACGCTGGTTCATATCGTTGTGAAGCAAAGAATAAACTGGGAAATGATTCATCTCAAGTTAAAAATCTTACTATCATCAAAGGTAAAATTAAAATTTTACTTCATCAATTTTTGGGCTAGTATTCTGCATTGTACATGAACAAATTACGACTGTTCAGTTTTATCCCATTTGTACACGTTAGTACAAGATTGTTCTGAACAAGGAAGATAGTTATACATTTTTCTTTGTTGGCGAGATTTAGATTCGTTTTGCTGAAAGACTACCACTGCCAATTATGATTGACTCTTAAGCCTACGCCTCATATGCCCAGTGGCGTAGCTAGCGGTCCCGCTACTCCCGCCCGGCGGGAGTAGAAATTTCCCAAAAAAATAATAAATATTCTATTTGGACATAAGATATACATTATTTCACGAACAATTTGTAATATTATGTTTTATTCGTTCATATTTACGCTTTTATTAGGTGGTTCCTAATCGTAATACAGCAAAATCTCAAGATTTGTTATGTAACCTAGCAACCGCCTTTTCTCGCACATTGCATACTCGCGCGATTCTCCACGTATTCCGCCCATCTTCAGAGGGCGGAACATACAATATAATTCTATATAAGAAGTTTTGAATTCTGGTTGGCTAAGGGACTTGACGCATGCTCAAATCTGCTGTTTTATAGTCGAACTCCCGCTATTTTAAATTGGCGGAGGTTGTAATTATTCGACCTTTTAATACGAGTACAGCGATTAGTGATTATCAAATTACGTGTCATTGTCGGTATTAATTTTCCATTGTGTTTACTCTCAAATTGCTATTTTGTATTTGTGTATGACACAATGGCTTCAAGTGCGACTGCGATTTGCTCAACTGATGTTGATTTAGTAAATAGCTTATTAGCTAAACCGTTCTCTGCTCGATCGTCGGTCGAACAGAATGTTATCGTTCATGAACGGCCTACTCCTGATTTAACTATCCAAAATAAGGGAAGAGCATTTCAGAGAGATTGGTATGAGGCGAAGGACTGGCTGTGTGGCAGTACAACCTTGCAGAAAGTGTTTTGTTGGCCATGTCTAATGTTTTCCCAAAACATCGCCATCGTGGACTAAGAATGGCTACAACGATATGCGGAGTATTATGTCTGATGCTAAGAAGCATGAAAAATCTAAATCGCATTTGACTGCATTTAAGACATGGAAAACGTATGGAGCTAGTGAACGAATTGATTGTCTTATGTCCCTCGCTAGAAGAAATGAGATTCAGCGTCACAATGAGGAGGTAAGACAAAATCGAGAAATTTTAAAACTGTTACTGAGGCCGTGCTGTATTTGTCAAAGCAAGAGTTGCCATTTAGAGGTCACAATGAGTCCGAAGGTAGCTTGAACAAAGGTAATTATAGAGAGTTGCTCGAATGTTTTGCTAAGTTTGATTCTGTATTTGAGCGTCGACTGCACAGTAGACTAGCAGAATCTGATATAGTTGGTGACAGAAGATTTACTGGAGTCTCCCAGAAATTCAAAATGGTCTTATCAGCTGTCTTGATTCAATTATTGAAGATGAAATCAGAAAGGAAATAAATGATTGCACATTTATGAGTATTCAGGTTGATGAAGCATCTGATGTCTCCACCAAAGAGCAGCTAAGTGTTATTGCTCGGTTTGACAAAGCAAGTGAAATTATGGAGAGGCAATTAGGATTTGTGGATGTAAGTATGAACAGAAATGCCACAGCAATATCACAAGTTGTCAAAGATAAACTTGGTGAGTATTCTAATATAAAAGAAAAACTGGTTTTACAAACATATGATGGTGCTTCTGTCATGTCTGGCCATATCAATGGTGTTCAAGCATTGGTTTGACAAGAGTATCCTTTTGCTCATTTTGTTCATTGTGCAGCTCATAGATTGAACCTGGTCCTATGCCAGTCAGCCTCATCAATTTCTCCTGTTAAAATCTTTTTTATTAATATAACTACATTCAGCACATGTACAAGCAATGCCCCAAAAAGAAAAGCTTTTCTCACATCTAACAACCTTGAGTTTCCTGCCCCTGGTGAAACAAGATGGTATTATCGCTCTAGATTAATCAATGTATTGCACAAAACTATGAAAAACTTTTAGATATTTTTGAGGGGTACTTGAACAACCAGCTGGGTGGGATGATGAGTCATTAAGTAAAATAAGTGGCTTACTGCATTATCTTGATAGCTTTCTCTTTTGTTTTCTAGTGTGTGTTTTTTACAGGATTTTAGAACAGTCCACAATTTTGTATTCCATTCTTCAAAATAGGGAAACCCATTTTAACTATGGCATAAGCAAGATTGACAATTTCAAGCAGTTTATTGTGTCACTTCACAGATCAAGCTTTCACCGAGTTTTACCAAACTGCACTAGAAAAGTAGGCCCACCAGCAACCAGAGCAGATAGTAGATACAATTACAAACAGCTTTATTTTGAGATTATTGATTCCATTAAAGGCATGTTAAGTGAACGATTTCAAGATATTAATCAGTTCGAGTTTTTAGACCTTGTAAATCCTAAACTATTTACTACATGGAAGGGCATAGTTCCACAGGAGAAGATCAATCTTCTCAAAGATAAGTATAGTCCTCTTTTGACATCCAAACTTTGGAGAGTCAACTTTCCTTCATTTACAACGACAAGGACTTTCACAAAGAGTGCAGTAATGAGGTTCTTAAATACATCTTCAAATTTAATCTCCAGTCGAGTTTAGGTCAAGTGGTAAATTTGTTAAAATTGAATGGTGTGTTGGCAGTGGCAAGTGCTTCAGTAGAGAGGTCGTTTTCTTGCTTAAAAGGGTAAAAGCTATTTAAGAAATAGAATGGGTCAAGGTCGGCTTAGCTCTTTGTGTAGAATATCTATTCACAAAGATATCATTGAAAAGAAAGAGGAATCAGAGGTGTTGCATAACGAGGTGGTTGAAAAATTTGTAGAAAACCCAGGAGGCTGGCCTTTCTTTATAAATGATGAGTATAGTATGTGTTTTGATATTTGTTCGTATAATACATGGTACTTCATTGAGAAAATTAAGCATAACTTTAAAGAATAAAGCCATCCCTGTCTACTTGCCCCAATCTAAACAAGTTTAAACTAACAAGTAGAATGCTAAGAAAAATCTCTCTATGCACTTTAGAAGTGTCGTATACTATATTATTTTTTGTGCTAATACAAATTTCTTCTGTTTATGCAGGGGCAGTGATGAGTAAATTATGTTTTAGGGGACAATTGTCTCCTGCGTAACTTTTCTCTGAGCCACCTTTAGTACCTTTTTAACTAGTTGCAGTTTCAACGATTGCCACATTAAGAATGCAGCTAACAAAAATGGGTTTTTATAAATTATTGTACAACAAATAATTCGCCCTCGAAATCGCAGGAAATGCTGTTTCCAAGGCTCTGGATTTCAAAATTTTCCCCCGGACCCCCCTAGTGGGGTCGCGCCTCCGGCGCGAGATGGATTGGCGAGAGTGACTATTTTTCCTAGCTACGCCACGGCATATGCCCCTTTCGCTGCGTGCTGCGCTGACGTATGCATCTGTCGTCACCTAGCTGTTAACTTTGCCTATTCCATATCCTCATTAAATAGGTTATCAAGGGTCTTAGACGACTATGATTTGTTTATAGTTTTTCGAAGACCAACGATAGTTGTTTTGGCTTCATAATAAGTCAATATTGTTTATGTCTAGTCGGTCACGCGATTGACTTTCAAAGTTTCAAAGTTTATTATTAATATACAGCTTGAAATTTGAGTGATTATTGTTACGTTGTTGTTCTTTTCCAACATCAAAGTCTTTTTTACAAATAAGATTTTCATTAAGCAAATTGCTTAACAATGCAGCGGTTTAAGGCAAAAATCTCATTGGATAGCAGTTTAGTGAAAAATTTCCACTAATCTGGACTTTTAGCAAGTGATGAGCGGGCTTTGTGCTGGCTTGTGACTGGTTAGGTCATCAATTGAACACTCCTAAGAAAATGCACCTAACACTAACGAATACTCTCATTATTAATTTTCTTTTTCATAACTAATTTAAGAAAGGATAATTTTCTGTTTTTAATTTCAGTGAAACCTACAGTGGTAATTAATTGTTCAACTCCTCTGGTTGTGGATGAAGGTGATAATGTATCATGTGTATGTAGAGGTGAAGGAGGTAACCCTCCTGCTAATGTCACATGGTTTGATAAAGATAACAACATAATTGGTGATGTTGGAGTTGTAAGTAAGACATTAGTAATCACTAATGTTACAGTGAATGATGGTGGAATTTACAGATGTAAAGCACAGAGTCATAATGATCAACATTATAGAGATGAAAAATCCATTGAAATAACAGTGACACCTACATGTAAGTTTGCAAGGCGGCATTTCAGATCTCATAAACGTTTGTGTAGGATATTGAATTTAATTTTATTCTTTACAGATCGACCACATGAAACCAATATTACCATCAGTCCAATGACAGTAAAAAAAGGTCAAACTGTGACAATAACCTGTGAATCAGATGGTTATCCTGAACCAACCTACACTATTTATCATAATGGTGCAGTTATCAGTAATAATAAGACATACATCATTCAATCTGTCAACTTCAATAACGCTGGTTCATATCGTTGTGAAGCAAAAAATAAACTGAGAAATGATTTATCCGATGTTAAAAATCTTACTATCATCAGAGGTAGAATTAAAATTTTACTTCATCAATTTTTGGGCTAGTATTCTACATTGTACATGAACAAATTACGACTGTTCAGTTTCATCCCATTTGTACACAATAGTACAAGATTGTGCTGAACAATGAAGATAGTTATATATTTTTCTTTGTTGGCGAGATTTAGATTCGTTTTGCTGAAAGACTACCACTGCCAATTAGGATTGACTCTTAAGCCTACGCCTCATATGCCCCTTTCGCTGCCTACTGCACTGACGTATGCATCTGTCGTCACCTAGCTGTTAACTTTGCCTATTGCATATCCTCATTAAATAGGTTATCAAGAGCCTTAGACGACTATGATTTGTTTATAGTTCTTCGAAGACGAATGATAGTTTTCTAGGCTTCATAATAAGTCAATATTCTTTAGGTTTAGTCGGTCACGCGATTGACTTTCAAAATTTTAAAAATTATTATTAATATGCATCTTGAAAGTTGAATGATTATTGTTACGTTGTTGTTCTTTTCCAACATCAAAGTCTTTTTTACAAATGAAATATTTCTTAAGCAAATTGGTTAATAATGCAGCGGTTTAATGCAAAAATCTCATTGGATAGCAGTTTAGTGAAAAATTTCCACTAATTTTTACTTTTAGCGACTGATAATCGGGCTTTGTGCTGGCTTGTTATTGGTTAGGTTATCGATCCAACACTCCTAAAAAAAATGCACCTAACACTAACGAATACTCTCATTATTAATTTTCTTTTTCATAACTGATTTAAGAAATTATAATTTTCTGTTTTTAATTTCAGTGAAACCTACAGTGGTAATTAATTGTTCAACTCCTCTGGTTGTAAATGAAGGTGATAATGTATCATGTGTATGTAGAGGTGAAGGAGGTATCCCTCCTGCTAATGTCACATGGTTTGATAAAGATAACAACATAATTGGTGATGTTGGAGTTGTAAGTAAGACATTAGTAATCACTAATGTTACATTGAATGATGGTGGAAATTACACATGTAAAGCACAAAGTTATAATGATCAACGTTATAGAGATGAAAAATCTATTGAAGTGACAGTGACACCTACATGTAAGTTTGCAAGGCGACATTTCAGATCTCATTATAAACGTTTGTGTAGGATATTGAATTTAATTTTATTCTTTACAGATCCACCACAACAAACCAACATCACTATCAGTCCAATGTCATTGAAAAAAGGTCAAACTGTGACAATAACCTGTGAATCAGATGGTTATCCTGAACCAACCTACACTATTTATCACAATGGTGCAGTTATCAGTAATAATAAGACATACATCATTCAATCTGTCAACTTCAATAACGCTGGTTCATATCGTTGTGAAGCAAAGAATATACTGGGAAATGATTTATCTTATGTTAAAAATCTTACTATCATCACAGGTAAAATTAAAATCTTACTTTTATCAATTTTTGAGATAGTATCCTACTTTGTACGTAAATCAGAATTACTTACGTCTTGTCAATATTCATCTTCCATTGACTTGCATTTGTACACGATAGTACAAGATTGTAAAAAAAGTCTTTTTTACAAATGAAAATTTTCATAAAGTAAATTGCTTTATGAAGCAGCGGGCAAAAATCTCATTAGTTACCAAATTAGTGGGAAAATTCCACTAATCTGGACTTTTACTGACTAGCGCGCTGTGCGCTGGTTTGTAAGTGATTTGGACATGGCCATTCTTACGCTAGTCGTAGTTTGGCCGTCTAAAATTGTGATCGTACTCAAATTGTAAATCAGCTCCTGCGCGTGCTCTATGGACTCAGACTGCTTCACCCGGATCCGTGGCATCAAATTTTGCTTTTTTATTGTTCTTTTTACCGTTGTGAAGGAAAGTTTACACTGGGCAAAGATTTGATGTTAAGAATTTCACTATGAACCAAGGTAAAAAGATTGAGTTTCACTCTTTCATTTGATTTGTTCTTTTTGGTCAATTATTATCATTTTTTTCGATAGATATTTCTGTCATTCAGTATTCTGTCAGCATTTTCATCTCTTTGACATTATAATTTGAGCTGATTTCTCTATAGCTATTTTAGCATTTGTCATTTAAGCATTTGTCAAGATATTCATCTACTTATTGCAAAACGAAAGGTAATTTATTTACTATGCTTTAAAATCATATTTATGTTTAAAATACTATTAGCTCTTTCTGTTCACTTTGCATGCGCTACCTGAGATGCTAAAAATCCTTAAAAGAAAATTTAAGCAAATTGCTCTTTTATAGGAAACTTCAGCTCTAGCCACAAAATGCAATTAACATCTCGACCTTTGCCTTAGACTTAATGGAAATGTTCAATTCAATCTATCCAATGCTCAATCAAAATGCTCCAATCTTGTTATCATATGTTATCATAATGCTAAATTATTAAGTATCTACTTTTGTGTTATGTTTATTGTAGAAAAAGGATACCAGTAAGTGAATTATTCATTTTAATTTTCTTTGTGTGATATGTGATGTTAATGTGTTTTTTGTTTCTCATCTTTTGAATAAAATATTTTCATGATTTGAGCAAGTTAGAGAAGCTGTTGTTTTTCGTACAGTACGAACTGTTGTATTAATGTTGTATCTATATTTTCTTCGTTTCGTCCATATCATGTACAAAATTTAATCATGGTTGTTAATGTTGCAGCGGTAAAAATGGTGTTGAACCTTTAGCTGGAGCTAATAATGCACAACCCAATCATTATGAAGAGGCTGGAGAACTTAGAGAAAATGCTTATGAATCCGTTGGCAATCAATATGAAACAGTAAATAATCCATCAACAGGTGATGAAAATAAACCATCAACAAGTAAAGCACCACCACCTGTATATGCCTCGATTGATAGAGAAAACAGAGAAGGAAATCCGGTTTGTTGTGGATATTTGTCATTTATTATTTATAAATAAGATTTGTGCATTTATTTTGTTTTAGTTGGATTATGGTGATGATTTTGAATGCATCATGGAGATTATGCAGGGTGTTTAAAAAAAACTGCTCATATTTGAAAACACCTGCGACATTTGGAATTTATACAATTCAGCAATACATGATCCCCAAAGACCTGTAAACGCAATTGAAAACAATGCATACGAATTGCTTCATTGAAACTTGATTTTATATCAGACGATTCTCTCTAATAAACGCTTTGACTCCAATAGTCGCACCTCACACGTTGCTATTGTTAACAGTGGGTTATCGATTGGGCTAAGAAACCGTATATTTAGTCTTGACTTTGTTTTTATTTTCTCACAATATGGTGATAGAGAATGATGTAAACGTCTCTCTATTTAACTCCTTGTGTCAACTGAAAGCCCCCTCCCCTTTTTCCCTTTCTAGGCTGCTATTGCATTTATTTAACGTCCTGTGTTTATTAAGTCATTTACGATGTATAAAAAACCTATGTATATTTTATCATCTTATGTATATATGAGAAAATATATCGTTGAACATTGAAAGTTTCTCCGGATTTTTATATATAATTTTATTGAGCTTTCGACTCGATGCTTCCTGCCTTCTTCAGAATTTATGAAGTTATTAGTTATTTACAATCCGGCGAAACTTTCAATTTTGAACAAGAATTATGTCTGGATTACAAATCTTCAAGCTGATAAAATATATACATATACAATGACAATATATACGTATGTTTTTATTTAGTTATACTCCTACCTTGACTTTAAAGATGAACCTAAAAGAAAGCCAGACAAAAATCGTCCTGCACCAACTGAATACGCCAGTATTGATATGAGTAAACTGGCACCTGTCGAGAAAAAAGACGACAAGAAAGGCGGTGACAAAGAAGGAGATGAGAAGAAGGAATAGTAAGTTTTATCTTTTGGAAAAGATCCTTTATCTTTTAAAGATCCAAAAGCTCGACGTCATTAATTGATGGTTGAAGAAAAAAGTAAAAGTAAAAATAGATTCATTTGTTGAATATTTTTTTAAAAAATGCCGAAAACATGCTTTTCTTTCTCTTATTATGGTAGTTTAATCTTATTGTAAATTTCCTTTAGAACTGGCGATCGTCGTTAATAAAACAAGAGTACGTAAAGACTTACTACATTTATAAAGATTAACTTTGTTCTTCATTAGATAATCTAGATTTAATCTCTAAACAGTATTAAACTGAATACTTTATGATTGTGTCTGTGTACATAATCGTTTGCCACGAACAAACTTAAATCTTGGCATCTATGCTACAGTTTGTGAATGTATTTTACTTTCCTTTATAAGGCAACAACATTACACACTGACTTTAACGCAGCATTTTGAATAGAATATTGTTTTAATCGTAGTTTTACTTTTGTTATTTTAATTATCATGGTTAAACCATTTAAACTTTTATTTACATAGAAATTAAGTGTAGAAACTCGATAGAAAAATCAAGCAATGTCAAGGAGTGTGATGGAAAACTCTTTGAATTGCTTCTTTACGATTGAATGATTTCATATGCATTAGTGTAAGGGATGTTTACGAATAAAACAATTTCGTGATCATTATTATTTTGCTTCTTTATTTTCGTGTCTACTGTAGATGTGAGATTTGACCTGCCCCCAAAGACAAGCTAACATTGAGTGGCTTTGTTTCAGCAAGCTTGGGCGGTAATAGGAATTTTTTAATTTAAAAATTTCTAGGAAGACTGCAAACTGCGATATAAAACAATTTAGTGAACAAAATTGTAATGTGTGAGTCATTGCACATGGATAGTGCTATCCTTGCTTCGTGTAAACAATGCTTCAATTCCATAAACATCAATTGTAGTTTTCAGCAAACAAACATCTCAATTATGCTCATCAGTGGACAATATTCATTGATCTTTAATGATAATCAATGACAGATGAGCAGGATAGCCTAAGGTAGAAGATAGCCTAAATATATATATACCGCAGAATGCAGATGTTCAATTATTTCTTACACTGAAATGATTCGTAAAATTCAAATGTCTTACTTGGGAGTGAATACGCTTTATTTTAAACTGGATTTGCAATTCTATATTGTCCTCAAATTTTGTAAAATTTTCTTTCATTTAAGATTCTAAGCTAATGGGAAAACAATGTAAATATAACGATTAAAAGAAATTATAGAACATTACTTTTGTACTTTTAATTTCTGAATTTGTTTTCGTGAATTGTTGGGTTTAGTGTTCTGGTTTTAAACAGTTCTTTTAAGAACTATTACGTTATTATTTTAACCATTCACCATGGTATTTGCTCTTTTTTAAACAATTTTAAATTCTAATATACCCGATTAAAAAGAGCAAAGTCGTCTGACGTCATCCATGTAGAGTCCTTTGCTAAACAGAAGTTTGCAGTCCAACCATCTGAATTGAAGTTGCTTGGGTTGAAGTGGTAAAAGTTAAAGGACAACTTGGTTATTTAACATTTGATTCACTGTTTTACGAAATCAAAAATTTCTCAGTGATGCATGCCCCCTGGGACTCGTCAAGAACATTCTCAATCTAGCCACGTTTGGTATTTTCATCTAAAAACTGCAGGATAAGATCATTGGTAAGATAGGTAGGGTAAGCAGGGGGGAGGATCAAGCTTTCCCAGGTCCCCATCTGGAATTCTTTGTAGACAAAGTATAAGAAATTTTTAATTGTGCATTAAAATTGTGAAAATTACTAAGAATATTTCAGCAATAGCGATTTTACAGATGTTATTTTTCACAATGATTTTCTTACAAAAACCACTTATGGATGCTCATCGTCTTCAAGAGCATTGTGATCAACTAGGAAATGGATATTGGCACAGCGTGTCGAAGTATGCTTTCATAATTTATACATTCATCTACAAGCACCATTAAGTTAATTAAATTACAGAATAAAGATTGTGTGGCTGGTATTCTTTTTTTAAAACAACTCTGGGCAATTTGCGTGGCTTGTCATGAGAGAGGTTTTGATAAAATATGATCGCTCTGTTACATATGACAGCGTTGTCACGGCGTTTACATTCTTTTCATTACTTATGTAAATATTTGCACAACATGAGACCCGGAAATAATTTTGAAAAGAGGAAAATTAGCTGGTTTATTTAAGAAGCGCGTGAAGATTTTTCGCCAGCTTAGTTACTTCAGTATTCTTTAAGGTAAAGTGAATCATTTAAAATGTTATCAAATATTGATGGACAAGATCATTTATAAATAATTTCATTGACATTTCACGGAATTTCCTGTGGAATTAAGAAGTTGTCTGAGATGTATCATAGTGGAAAGTTCTTTAATACTTCCGCAAAATACAAAACAAAAAAATCTTGTTTTACTGGCAACAACAGAGGATGTTTTTTATCGAAAATTTAGGAAGTTTTACTGATGCTCTTGTTTTCTTCAATATTAATGGTTATAGGAAGTCAAAAATATACATAAAATATGAAGGAATACATCATATATTTCTGTAGCAGTTCTGTGATTTTACTTAAGTTGCATCTTCACTTTACCTTTATAGACAGAATACAAGATGGCAAAGTTTGACTTCCTTTCATTTGTTTTGTTCTGGTGGATTTCAACATGTCAAGGTATTTATTATTTTTATTAGATCATTAAGGAAGTAAATGGCTATTTTTGTCAAATACAACTGTGGAATTTGCTTAGAATATTAACTAAAATACTCACTTAATTCTTCATTTTGTGTACAATGACCATAATCAGTTCTGCATTGAATGAAATAATTTAAAAGCAATACCTGGCAGTATTTAAGAAGACAAAGAGTGTTCATTTCTTGCGTAATTTTCATCCAACTTTAGTTCAGTGAGTAAACGTCTCTGTGTACAGTGTTTCAGCTGATTTGGAACCTCCTAAAAATAGTTAAAATAAATAAATAAATTTTTATCCACAAAATGAAAAATGCCACAATTTTTATTAGGAGTACTGAAAATTAAATTAATCATTTACGTAATAAAAATAAGAAACTTTCGCGTAACGGACTTCATGAAAATTTATTCAGGAGCGACCGTGTTTTTCATGGGAACAAAACAATCTTATTAAGTTTGAGTCTGAATTTTAACGTGGTTTATTTCTATGTAGGGGGTACATATTCTCTGTGTCATAGGTCCTAGACTAATCGATGTCTTAACAGTACACCTAATGAACACCAAATTCGAAATATTCTGATATCGATATCAATTCATCCCCCGAAATCCGTGTTGAATTTCTAAACATTCACAATGTCTTTAACTCGTCAAACTTTCTACGTTTTGCTTCATAAGACTTAACAAATAGAGCGATTTTACCTTCATTTTCAATTTTTTCGCCTTAAAGAAATGAGTTATTTTCTCCACATATTGCGTCAAAGCCTTAATGTCATCACTATTCTACTATGCTTAACCTTCTACATTGTCTGTGTAATATATTGATTCACGCGTAGTTGAATACTGACTTAAATAATTTAGCAGCTGGTATAAATATATAGTAACAATGATTACACTTTAACAACATTATCATTGCAACACTGCATTAGTTTATTTTAAGGTAAATTATTGGGTTCAACCCAATATACTCGGCTAGCTTAACATCGCTTTAAACAAAACTTTTTAAGAATTTTCATGCATTTTGAATTTCATAATTTTAAAAGACCAAGACGAAACACTACATTAAATACTAAATGAGTTTGTTGGGTTTCATTTCTTCTTTGATTCTTGAAAATATTTTTGGACTTCCTGTTGTATTGTTTAGTTACCAAACTAATAAGGGCCTGTTTACATGGGAATAGTGTAACCCTACTTGCAAGGCTATATTTTTGTGTAGGGTGACTCTACCATTGATAGGTCTGTGTATTACTATTAATGACAGCAACATCAGCATGTTGTAGACATGATTGCAGATGAAACATTTTGGCTTCCTTGAGGAATATTTATAAAGATCCATAATTCAGTTTAAGACATCTGAAAATTGTTTCAAATTCATTTTCATTATATAATATTCACATCGAGTGTTTTTTTTAATGAGGACTTAACATTCATAGCGAGCCAGAGCTGAAAAACCAGAATTTTTACGGCACTAACCATGTTAACTCTTGATTTTATTTTCAAAGATCATAAGCATTAAAATTCATCATTTAATTTTTTCGTGAAAATTGTAAAGTCAAATTTAGTATTTTTGACTGTTACATTGATCACATTTCTTGGTCTTGCCAAAGGTATTTAACTTCAAATATCCATTTCTTTATTTTTACTCAAATGATTTTTGATGTATTTTTAGTTGTTGTAGTAGTAATATTTAATTAGTTTATTTTTTATTCACAATTTTTGAATAGAACCCGAATTAAGAAAATCAATTACTTTTGTTAAGTTAGTAGAAGATGTATTTTTTCACTAAACTATCTTTTTATCAGTCATAGATATTAGCTAAATTTCAATTTTAGGAACAATAATATCTCCACCTGATGGTCAAAAATTTGTATTTTTGCCTGGATCTTCTCACGATATAACTTGGACATTATATAATACTGGAAACTTTATTTTTCGGAGCTGGACCTTTAGGACATTTGACACTCCTTCTTCTGCAGCTCAAGTAATTGTAAGAATAATTGATGATGAAGAACCAGTTTATCGTACATCAGTCCTTAAGTCTTTTGGTTTAGATGTTGAAGTTTTTAAACCTGCAACTCTAATGTTAAAAAACGTTAATCAAAGTTACATTGGTGTTTATAAATTTTCTATTCACGCTCCTGATCCCTTTGGCTCATCTGTTGAAGTATCTATTGCAGGTAAATTGCATTTATTATTTTAAACTTAGCAGCGGGGTTATCCAAGCCTTTCATGTAATCTGAGTAGTTTTAGCATTGGGCGTAATTATACGATATATGACCGCGGTCTGGAATCCTATAGCTAAATACTTGAGCCGTTGAGCGAGCACAAATGCGAAGACTTGTTTTGTTTTGTTTTAATTTAAAAAGGAAACTATAGGGTATCTTTTGATTTGAATAATCTATGTTAAAGTGTTTGTATCACAGATTTTACTACATTTGAGTATAGGACAAAAAATTAGTTATTGATACCACTTTCGATTTTTGTGGTATAAAATTTGATATCAATTGATCAACTGGTAATATCACTATTATGTCTCGCCGAACAAAGAACAGTCTATCCACGCTTACAGATGCTGATGTTAAAAGCTTGATTCTGAAATTGCCCAAAACAGATGAAACCAAAGAAAAAGATATTCCACCAGAAAGATCTGCCAAAGATAACGGAAGAAAGACGAAAGAAAATAAAACGTGCACCGAACCTATTGATAAAGAACCAAAATTTCGCGCACACATGGTTGATGTCGAGACATTTGTTTTAACGTTACCCAGCACAGACAAAATTGTTTCCGAAAAGTTAGACATCGTCGATAACGCAAGTAAACTCGACCAAATCCTCACTCGTCAACGTATTTTAGAAGAAATATCGAAAAAGCCGTCCTTCTAGTCGACAATGCGAAAATGGCAGCCGAGATTGACAGTTTGAAATTTTTTATTAGCATGCTAAGAGAAGACAACAATCGAATCTTGTCTCTCCTAGTTAACAATCAAAATGCTTGGATAGATGTCAATCATAAGAATCAACCCAAGATAATCAACAAAAAACCAACAACTAATCCTCTTCCTCTAGTTCAGGGGTCTCCAAACTTTACAGCCAGAGGGCCACATGAACTTTCATCCAGCATGTTGAGGGCCGACGAACCGTATACCGCTGGTGAAAAAGCGATGAAGAAGTATTTTACACTTCACTCTTCTTGTCTACTATCATCTACTTTTTTTTCTTTTATGTACAAAGTTTATTTTGTTTAATGATATTATTATTTTTTTCTCAAGTGTCTCTGCGGGCCAGATTGAGAGGCCTAACGGGCCGCATCTGGCCCGCGGGCCGTAGTTTGGAGACCCCTGCTCTAGTAAATAGATTTGGAAATCTCCACGATAAATCCCACAAGGAAAATCACGTAGTTCCGACAGTTAGCACACCGTCAATGGAAGTATGCCTAACTCAGTCAACTCAGTCCCAACTGAATGCTTACCGCTGTAAGCAGAAGGAAAAGTTCAACAAATCAAGAATTGACATTCCTAATGACGACCAAGGTATAACTGACCAAAAAACTAGAATTATTCAGCGGCATCAACTCTCATCATTGGTGACTCAATGTTAAAACATATAGATCCAAAAAAGATCTCCTGGTCATCGAGAGGTAAATCTACCTGCCACTCCTTCAGTGGTGCAAAGTAAAGGACATTCAGCAAAAAGTCCTGGAGATCCCCCAAAATAAATATGGTACTATTATTATGCATGTTGGTACTAACGATCTTGTCAATAGTAGTACTGATGAAGTTGCCACAGGTTTAGAAACATTGATTGTAAGTGCGAAGAAGTTAGCAGGTAAAGTGGAAATTTCAAGTGTTATAAAAAGATTCGATGACAAGGTCTCATTAAATAAAATAGCTTTTTATAATTCTCTCATCTACAAATTATGCTCTTAACATAATGTTTCATAATGTTACTATTTAATGAAAATTACTCAACCTGTAAACGGTATCAAACCCAATTAAACATTGAAATCACTGATCAAAGAAAATGATTCATATTTTTTGAAACAGCTTTTAAAACTGGGAAAGTGGAAAAACTGTTACCTGACTCATGAATAAATATCAAAAATTTGGAAACTTTTTAACACTTAGTGCTCACGTACATTTAGTATCCTCGCATTTACTGGTTCATTTTGGAGCTATTTAAACACGAAAAACAAAATGCTTTTGTTATGAAATATAAAGTATAAAATGAAAGAAAGAAGATTAGAAATTTCAAACACTTCGAAAATGTCCATTTTAATTTATCTGTAAATTTCTTTTTCATTACATTGCATTAAAATGACGCTTAACTTTGTGCCTCTTCCATTATTGCTCTTCATTCAGACAAAGCATCTCCAATTCTTACAGCTTGTTGTTAAGTATAGTTTAAAAACCTCTAATCCTCTTAGTAATACGTTCATTTTTCCAACTTATGTTGTAAAATATTTTGGTCTATTGAATTGAAACCTTTTCAAAAGTCTGCAAAAAAGTCGAGCAGCTACCATCAATTGCTTCGAATTCATCTTCGTCAGTTGTACAGTGGCCTTTTCATGCGTATTGTTGTACATTGATTTTATCTTTAAGCAGTTTTGTAACAGTAAGGCATTCCATAATATTAGCCAAATCATGCGTAAATGCAATGGGTTAGTGTTCATATTTTTTTGGAGGGATCACTTCAGGGATTAAGGATCAAAATTGAAGTTTTTGTAAGAGTAATGGTAAAGTTCCGTCTTTAATGACTGATTATGCATCTTTACATGACTGGGACGGAAAGATTTAAGCCTTAGAGCGACTTGTTTGGGATAATATCTCTTTTTGATGTGACAAGCAATATCAACAATATATCAAACGGCTACTAAAACGAAGTAAACACATTAGTGGAAACCTCAAAACGCAATTCTTTTTCGTTTACACTTCATAAACAAAAGTTGTCGAATCTTTCAATGTGAAGAAAAAACCAGACATACAAACCAGTCAAATCAACTACAGACTATTCTTACAAAACTAAATCCAAGTCTTTCTATAACAAACTACCCAGCAAAAACTACGAAAGTTAACAAGACGCTTCTGTAAATATGTGGACGTTAAAGTAGTTTATTCCTTTGAGAAAATTCCAGAGGTTAAAGCCAAATTCCTCCCACAAAATAAAAGCCACTGAAAGACACTATTTCCTTTTTTTTCGATTCTTTTGCGTGATATAATTCTCCTTATATTATTTAGGAGATAACTCGCCATTTCTTCACACTTATCAAAGAACACACAACTTCCAACAAATATTTACACATTTACAAACACCTTCACACTTCACTACAATGTAAAACTAAAACAACTTATGATTTTGCATCGTGGACATCGGTTACCTTTTATTTTACTCTAAAACTTAAAGAAGCTCTCTATACTAAAAAAGTTAAACAAACAATGTCATCACATCAACACCATCTTCAATTTCTACGTATCTCTAAATTATTCAGTAATTTGATACCTGTAACATATTTCATATGAATATATTTCTCATTCCTCTGTACTGAACATGGTATAAGATTTCCGAAACCCATGTTTAATTTCAAAAAAATCGTCGTTCTCTTAAAATATTTCATATATCTGTTGTGTTGTTGGGAAATCATAAAAATATGATTCATACAATAAAAAACAGTTTTTACCATCATATGAAAGGATGTAACAAACATTTCAACATTTCATGGTTAAAAATATTTTTGTTCTACACTGTATAGTTATTAGGTAGTGGTTATGTAAAACGATGTCTTCAATTTGTCTTATCTTTTTTTAGTTAAACCAAACGCGACAATTAATTGTTCAACTCCTCTGGTTCTAAATGAAGGTGATAATGTGTCATGTGTATGTAGAGGTGAAGGAGGTAACCCTCCTGCTAATGTCACATGGTTTGATAAAGATAACAACATACTTGGTGATGTTGGAGTTGTAAGTAAGACATTAGTAATCACTAATGTTACAATGATTGATGGTGGAAATTACAGATGTAAAGCACAAAGTTATAATGATCCACGTTTTAGAGATGAAAAATCTATTAAAGTAATAGTGAAAGGTACTTGTAAGTTTGTAAGACAGCATTTCAGATCTCATTATAAACGTTTGTGTCGAATATTGAATTTAATTTTTATCCTTTACAGATCGACCACAACAAACCAATATCACAATCAGTCCAATGTTAGTAAAAAAAGGTCAAAATGTGACAATAACCTGTGAATCAGATGGTTATCCTGAACCAACCTACACTATTTATCACAATGGTGCAGTTATCAGTAATAAAAAGACATACATCATTCAATATGTCAACTTCAATCACGCTGGTTCATATAGTTGTGAAGCAAAGAATAAACTGGGAAATGATTCATCTGATGTTAAAAATCTTACTATCATCAAAGGTAAAATCAAAATTTTACTTCATCAATTTTTGCGCTAGTATTCTACATTGTACATAAACAAATTACGACTGTTCAGTTCCATCCCATTTGTACACGATAGTACAAGATTGTGCTGAACAATGAAGATAGTTATATATTTTTCTTTGTTGGAGAGATTTAAATTCGTTTTGCTGAAAGACTACCTCTGCCAATTATTATTGACTCTTGGGCCTACACCTCATATGCCCCTTTCGCTGCCTGCTGCGCTGACGTATGCATCTGTCGTCACCTAGCTTTAACTTTGCGTATTGCATATCTTCATTAAATAGGTTATCAAAAGCCTTAGACGACTATGATTTGTTTATAGTTCTTCGAAGACCAACGATAGTTGTTTAGGCTTCATAATAAGTCAATATTGTTTATGTCTAGTCGGTCACGCGATTGACTTTCAAAATTTCAAAAATTATTATTAATATACATCTTGAAATTTGAGTGATTATTGTTATGTTGTTGTTCTTTTCCGACATCAAAGTCTTTTTTACAAATGAAATTTTCATTAAGCAAGTTGGTTAATAATGCAGCGGTTTAATTGAACACTCATAAGAAAATGCACCTAACACTAACGAATACTCTCATTAATTTTCTCATTACTAATTTTCATAACTAATTTAAGAAAGGAATATTTTCTGTTTTTAATTTCAGTAAAACCAAATGTGGTAATTAATTGTTCAACACCTCTCGTTGTGAATGAAGGTGATAATGTATCATGTGTATGTAGAGGTGAAGGAGGTATCCCTTCTGCTAATGTCACATGGTTTGATAAAAATAACAACATAATTGGTGATATTGGAGTTGTAAGTAAGACATTAGTAATTACTAATGTTACATTGAATGATGGTGGAACTTACAGGTGTAAAACACAAAGTTGTAATGATCCACGTTTTACAGATGAAAAATCTATTGAAGTAACAGTGAAAGCTACTTGTAAGTTTGTAAGACAGCATTTCAGATCTCATTATAAACGTTTGTGTAGAATATTGAATTTAATTTTATTCTTTACAGATCTACCACAACAAACCAATAATTTGAGTGGATTTCTGTGTAGCTATTTTAGCATTTTTCATTTAAGTTTGGTCTAAAATTCCAACCAGTAAATTTGTTAACATATGTATCTCCAACATCATTTTTCCTTTCAAAATATTCATCCACGGATTGCAACACAAAAGATAATTTATTTACAATGCTATAAAATCATATTTATGTCTAAAATACTATTAGCTCTTTCTGTTCAATTTGCATGCGCTACCTGAGATGATAAAAATCCTTAAAATAAAATTTAAGCAAATCGCTCTTTTATAGCAAACTTTTGCTCTGGCCACACAATGCAATTAACATCTGGACCTTTTCCTTAGACTTAATGGAAATGTTCAATTCAATCTATCCAATGCTCAATCAAAATGCTCTAATCTTGTTATCATATGTATTTTAGTATTGTATACAAATAAACTCTTTTGATTTTTTCCATGTTTTTAAGTTCTATGCTTCTACTCTAGACAACGTTCTTTGTGATGACCAAAAAGAGAGAATAAAACAGTGCAAAACAGAATGGTACATTATTTTAATAACTTTAACATCTGGAATTATCGTTGGAATTTTCGTCTCTATTTTATTTTTTTTGCGTTATCGTCAACATTGGTTAAGTAAAAAACGTCAACAGTTTCAATCTCCATCTGAAGTTAGGAAAAATTCTGTTGATACAAATTATCAAGAATTGGATTTATCAAAAATGAATAAAGAAGATAATTATCAATCATTGAGACCAAAGGATGACACAGTTGATACAACTTATGAAGAACTGGACATATCGAAATGGAATATAGAAGATAATAATTATGAATCTTTGTAAAAAAATAATGAATCGGAGTACGAGATAGCCACGAAAGAAGAAATTATGAGAACAGTAATTTTTTTTCAAGAAAATCATAAATTTATTCTAAACACTTGTTTATAAACATTTTCCATGTTGTAAATTCACAATGGCGCTTTTACGAACATTTACATTTTCTGATAAGATTTGAATTTTGCATCTTTTCCTCCTTTTGGAGCTGCCAATACTTTATGATTTCCAGAAGGAAGCCATTTTAGGATAGGAAAATAAACTGGTCAATTTCACTCATTCATTGGTTGTTTTTGATAACAGTGTATTGTAATACTGTTTTTGAATAAGTATTTTCTATTTATCTTACTATACACCTGCTTTCCTGACTTGTTTCCTGTGTATACCAAATTGTTTAGAACAGGATCACGAAAAGGCCCTGAAAAAGCACGAAATCTTATTTCCGATAAACCTAAGTCGTAAATTTCAAAATTTGTCTTTGATTAGGGAATGCCTTGAGACTCATCTAGTTAAAAGAAGACCATAGTTGGATAGTTAAGAACACCTTAAGTGATCTACTATGGAGCGCCAATCGTAACAAAAATTATTTACAGTTTATACGGTTTCATTTTGAGTACAGGGCTAGTGGGTTGTTCGACAACACAAAGAGAGCCTCAAAAATGCGGCGACCTTTAGAAAATTTACCGTCTTAAAACTTGAAATATAAACAAATGTACTGGAGAATCCCAAGTGTTTAATATCGCAATGCTCCAGACGTACAAAAACCTCCATCATTTGGGAGTAACAATAAAACTTAAATGAAGATATGATCTTCGCACCTTGCTGGACAATTTAAGTGCGAAGATCATATCTTCATTTAATTTCAAACACCGCACTGCATAAAACATTCATATAACAATAAAACTGTTAACGTTTTGATATTTCATTCTCGATTTGAATGCTAAAACAACAAGAGCAATAACTTTAACTTTATAATACATTTACATTCAAAGGCCTAAAGATGTTTTTCTTTGATATCGTAGTCAGCAGTTATTAAGTAATGGAGCATTCGCAAAGAATGGCAAAAACGTTTGGTTAGATTTTGTTGGGGGCTAAGCCTTCCCACAGTGCTGTGTCCAGTCCTTTGAAGCTTAGTGTTAATATTGACCTTGTAGTATCGGCTAAAGGCAGACATTCCATTTTTTATTTTTATTTTATAAAGTGAGGGTAGGAGAATATTCATATATTCAGCACTGCCCTGCTGGGGCCAGTTGCACAAAGCCTGGATAGCGCTATCCATTGGATAGCAACAATTTTCAAGTTTGTAAAAAAGGTGTTTATATTTTACTTACGACAAAGAAATTTTATAATCTCCGAAACAATATTTATTTCAGACTTTTCAGTGAGTGCTTAGTTCGATTTTTATATTTTTTGCTTTTTAAAAGGTTTTATAAAAGTTTGAAAAAATTGCTATCCAGGCTTCGTGCAACCGGCCCATGATATCTTTTGAAATTAAAATCGCCAACAAAAGAAAGTAGCAGGAAAGAGCTTAGTACATGAATATTCCCACCCCCCCTCACAATTAGTGTTCTAGTCTAGTTTCGCCCCGTCTTGTCTTAACTAGATGGGTTTCTGGGCATCCCCAACCCAAGAAACAGCTGTAAACATTTTTTTACTATAAGGTGGGTGTGCAACAATTCCCAGGGAGTAAGAGAAAAATGAAATGCTCGCCATGTTGGATGAATTATTCATTGTAAATAAGGAAAATCCTTTGTTAAAATCATGCAACATGGCCGTTGCACTTGCAAACCAAGAATTGGCACCCCATTCCTTGTATTCGGGTCTGGTTCAGTGGTCTGGTTATGCAACCTTCTTCGATCATTATTTTTTTATAATTTATTTATAATATCTATGGTTTTAATCATAAAGATAACATGTACTATGCAATGTTACACAAAATAGTGAGAATATGAACTTCATTGGCCTAACTGGCCTATATTAAATTTTGACGATAAACAATGAAATAAATATTTGCACGCCATGGACCCGGAAATAATTTTAAAAGAGTAAAATTTCGTTCATTTAATATGTTATCAAAAATTGACTGATTAGTCCATTTGTAAATAATTTTATTGACATTTCACTGAGTTTTCTTTGGATTAAGAACTTTCCACTTTTGCATCATAGTGGAAAGTACATGTTTGTAATTGATGATCGTCCAGGTTAATAAAGTCCTGAGAAGGACTGTTTTGTTGTTGTTGACTGATGTTTCGACAACCTTAGCGGTAGTCATCTTCAGAGTCAAATGAGGAGTAAACGTGAGGTTAGCCGTATTTGTTATCTTGTTCACTGTAGGGTTTTCATGATTTTTCTCAAGTACATCATTATAGCTGGAAACTGGTTGTTGCCTTTTGATATCTGGTCAGAATAATGTTCGTCTTTTATCAGTTTCAATCAACAAGGTTCTTACTGATGCACGTAGAAGTACTTGTTACAGTGTCCTCTGCTACTGACTCCTCAGCATTGAGCTTAACAGTTAAAACCTTTCTTTCCTTTTTTTCAATGTCTTTATCCATGTCCACCATGCATCTATGACGTCTCCTGGTCTTTGCTTTTCACTCTTGACTTTCATGAACGGATTTTATGAAAAAGATCCAGGATGTCACTTTTTCTTTGTATTTAACAAGTACGCAAATGTCACACACAGACGTCACATTCTTCTTGTTCATTTAAACTTCTTCCAGAATTAATAAAGTTTGATATTCTCTTTATATCCTATTGAAAAACAGGGTCTTGCAGAGATGCAGGGCTCAGAGTCTATTTCACCATTACATATTCCATGTTTTACCAGGAGTTAAGTCTGTGTGTCATATTCACAATCATGTTTGTTTGCATGCCAAAAGACAATCGCTAAACTCAGGTGACGTTAATTGTGGCGTAGCTATGTCACATTTGAAAAATATAAGTTATTCTAGCGCCGAAGGTTATTCTAGAGCTAGTTTGCAAAGTTACCTGGATATAGGAAGTTAATTATATAAGATTATATTACGCGTAATCTTGTCATCCGACTTTGCCGATGATTTTCTACAACTTATTTTTTTGTGCACTCTCCAGATTTTGGATATATTTTAAGCAATAAAAATATCTACAATATGGCCAAGTTTAAAAGAATTCTACCGTGTAGTTTTTTATTTATAGGCCTTTGTTTGCAAAGTTACCTGGATATAGGAAGTTAATTATATAATATTACATTACGCGTATTCGTGTCATCCGACTTTGCCGATGATTTTCTATAACTTATTTTTTTGTGCACTCTCCAGATTTTGATATATTTTAGACAATATAATTATCTATATCCTGGCCAAGTTTAAAAAAATTCTACCGCTAAATTATACGCTAATTAAAGGAAATGAAAAGTACACTGTAACCTAAAGTTTTGTGTTTTGTTCAATTTTTTGACTTTTATACTTTCTTTGTAATGGTTAAGGACAGTAAAATAGTAATGTAAAGTAGTAGTTTTTAAACAATTTAGTAGTTTTTCTTCAGCCATTGTTTCCTGAAGACCATGTTATGTTATATGTATGGCACGAAGTACTTAAAAATATACGTTTCGTAACCGCTGTCCAGTTTGCCAGTCAGAAATATCGACGTATGGTTGATTTTCTCAACACGTGCTTGCTCTTCTCATATGTCACTTATGATTCTCGACTAGTGGTTGGAATTCTCGATACACTTTTGTTTGGCGTGCCATAACTTTACGTACGTCATACGTTGCGAAGCAGGAAATTGAGTCTTTCTGAAATTCTCACTGAAGAAAACCAAATTACATGGGTATGTTACGTTTTGCTGTATTTTTAGTGGAATAACGTACTTGTACTTGTTGTCTTGAATGAAAATATTGTTTTGCTGTAAAGTTTTGGCGTAAATATTCATGGCATTCGACAGGCGCTATTGAAACGAGTCTCTTATCGAGAATTCTTAGTCCGAACAAAAATTAGCCAATACTAAAATTGTGTTTGTGAAGGAAAATAAGTTTTAAGCCTAGGCCACACTATCGTCCATATCGACGAAAATCAGAACGAAAACTGCCGCAACGAAAATTTTGAACGAAAACTCGACGAAAATTTCGTTTTCGTGCATATTAGAAGAATTAAACTTTTGACCTTTTTCGTTAACGAAAACGCATACTATTGGCTAATAATATCAGACTTTGTACTCAAATATACGGTGGCTGGTACGGTCACCAGAAAAATAATTTAGAAAACATAACAAACAATAAGAAAACATCACTCAAAATCATACTACACATTTCAAAATACTCACTACACATTTCAAAATACTCGCTATACATTTCAAAATACTCACTACACATTTCAAAATTCTCGCTACACATTTCAAAATACTCACTACACTTTCGTCCCAGTCTTACCCTGGTCTGGCCTGCCCACGGTCGTCATTAGTTTACATCTACGAAATTGACGTGATGGCAGAAAGCAATATAAATATACGCTTCCGATATTACTAACAGTTCAGTACGCGTAAGGATATTTTGATGCTATTGTGGCGATATGTTGTCTATGTGGAATTCGGCACATAGACAAACATATCGCCACAATAGCATCAAAATATGCGATACGCGTACATGAACTATTAGTAATATTTCTTCCAGGGATTTCTTGGTCTTGGTTAGACAACACGAGTGGTCAATCTACAGATTACATGTAATTGTATTTGTATTGGTGATATTCGACAATCATTAGTTTAACTAATGCACTCATTGACGTGAGTTCTAAATTTATGCTTTACTCGAAATTACCGAACACATTTTCTTTGGCGTTTCTTGTGCAACAAATTATAGCACTGTGTGTAAATTTCCTCTTTGGTTTCCTTGTTATTTTTTGTAACGCATCACACAAGTACGTACGCGACATAGCAGAATGCAAATTCATATACTCAAATTTTGCTATTAAAAGTACGGACATGTGTTGAAAGCCACTGCAAATACATTTGCTTGCGATATGTAGATCGTCTACTAATGTTGTTGCCCGACCAAGTCCAGCAAAACACTGGAAGAATTTCTGATTAGAGTTCAGCCAATATTTTCATGCTATTATCCCAATGTCCCATTTTGTTTGTCTTGTGAAATGCGAAATTATATATTTAATATGCTTACTTTATGATGTCATGTCAGTTTCGTAGATGGAAACTAATGATGACCATGGGCAGGCCAGACCAGGGTAAGACTGGGACGAATGTGTAGGGAGTATTTTGAAATGTGTAGTGAGTATTTTGAAATGTGTAGTGAGTATTTTGAAATGTGTAGTATGATTTTGAGTGATGTTCTCTTATTGTTTGTTATGTTTTCTAAATTATTTTTCTGGTGTCCCGTACCGGCCACCGTACAAACATGGCGGAGTGGCAAGAGGTTTTGATAAATCAGGGCTAATAGACTTTCTAAGATGTGTGCCAACTTTAGTGATGTGAGGTCTAATTAAATCCAAAATGTAGTCAAAATTTGTCGTCGTCATTCGCAAGTATTTTATGTGTCTATTTTCATTGTTCGGCTCTCGTAATTCTTTAATGAAGATGTTAAATAGTCCAAGACGATCACGTCGTTTATTAATTGGATGAATCCAGTATCGACGTTTGCTGTTGCTTGTTTTCAACTTTAAAAGCAGTAACTTTTTCTTAAGAAAAAGTAATCTTTTTCTTTTAAAGATCGCCATTTTTTCTAATCCGTCAAAAATGCCGCTTGCTTATTAGCCAAAAAAGTTTTGGCTTTGCAAACATGCTTGTAATTTTTCGTCGTGTCTGGCATACATTTCGTGCACGAATTTTCGTTTCGTTTTCGTTTTCGTCAATATAGACGATAGTGTGGCCCAGGCTTTAGTCTGAATTCGAGAAAATCTTCAATAATATGGTACACAAGTGTATACGTTATAATACAACAGCTTTTTGTATTGATATGCTTTGATGAAGATCTTTTTATCTTAACGTCGCTTTAAACAAAACTTTTTAAGAATTTTGATGCATTTTGAATTTCATAATTTTAAAAGACCAAGACGAAACACTACATTAAATATTAAATGAGTATGTTGGGTTTCATTTCTTCTTTCATTCTTGAAAATATTTCTGTACTTCCTGTTGTATTGTTTAGTTACCAAACTAATAATGGCCTGTTTACATGGGAATAGGGTAACCATACTTGCAAGGCTATCTTTTTGTGTAGGGTGACTCTACTATTGACAGGTCTGTGTATTACTATTAATGACAGCAACATCAGCATGTTGTAGACTTGATTGCAGATGAAACATTTTGCCTTCCTTGAGGCATATTTATAAAGATCCATAATTCAGTGTAAGACCTCTGAAAATTGTTTCAAATTCATTTTCATTATATTATCTTCATTATATTATGTTCACAATGAAGACTTAACATTCATAGAATAAAAATCTTCTTTGCCATCTCGAAAACTTCCTTGTAGATGGTGGATGGGCTCTAGTTTTATTGTTTGTCTCTGTAGAGTCATGTAGCACATTTTGTGTATAATTTTGTGCTTTGGAAGCAATTTATTTTCCCTGATATGCAAATATGTTGAGTAGATATGATTTAAACATAGCCCTACTGAAAGGGATTATCTTATCTCAAACGTTTTTATGGTTTATGAAATAAAAACATAACCTACTGTTATGGTAACCTTATCAATTTGATATGGAAACCCTAACCCTCAGGGTTACCCTAGCACACATGTAAATGCTACATATAAATCAATGTAACCCTTGCTAATGTAACCCTTCTGGTAGGGTTACCCTACCTCCATGGGCCCAGTGTGCGAATTAGTTAAAAAAAAAACGATCGATGTGCAATTTTTTTGACAAAAGTGTTTCTTTAGAGGCATAATCAAATCGATATTACTTAAGTGCTAATTGTTAAATTAATATTTTTAAACGTGAACAAATTCATATGATTCACGACAGTGTTTTTCGTGTATCGTTTGAATAGAAGTTTTTTGCACATCGTTTGAAAAAGTGATGTGCAATTGTTTTCATTTTAGCTAAAACGATGTGCAAATTGCACATTGCACACCGCTAATTTGCACACTGCATGGGCTTAACAATCACTATATTTTATCATGAATCATACTTTAAACATTTGCCCATAATCCTTGAACTTATATAATTTTGTATGCCTTCTTTCTTGGGCTTATATAGGTGGGTCTTGTTTATGTGGAGTGAATGCTTAGATTATATTGTATGGCAGTCATCAGCACAGTATACACAACACAGTCTTTATTGACAATAGTATGAAAATTCTACTGACAAAACATTAAAACATAGTAAAATTATGTTTGAACAGTTTACAACTACATTAATTCTTATCCTCTAATAAATTTATGCTTGTGGGCTTTTCTGTGGACCGAGTTGAAAACTAAACTAACTTCCAATTGCAGTAGTTACAAACAGTTTGTAATAGGTAAAAATTCATTCAAAACTAAAGCATTTTGATTGAAAAGAGAAGAATTTCTGTTCACTATTATTTAAGATTTACACAAAATTACTTTCCTGTACAGCTAACTGTCTTTTCCTAAAGTTCATTTTGCTAAAGCAATGTCAATCCTTATATATAACCAATGTTTCTTTTGTAGTTTGTGTATCGTCTTTAATAGCATCGTTGAATGATTTAAATTTCAAGTTTATTCTGTTAAGAACATTAGGAAAGTTAGCCTGCAAATTTGGTTGTGCTATGTAAATTTCAGATCATTGTCATTGTTCATTTGTTTGAAATCTATTGTTTTTACAGCTAGTGAACTCGTGTATAATTTGCATAGCAGAACTAAAGATATGTCACTGGTCACATATGATAATTGTAATGTGAGATGTAAATGTATTCAATGATTCACAATCTTTAGGAAACAGTATTTATGTTCATCTTATGCTTTTCCAATCAAGTCAAGAAACAAAAATGTTAACCACGTTTGCACAGGCTTATGTAAACTGAAGAGACCTTTTGGAGAACTCTAGAGCTGATCAGTGCAAAGCAGGTTTTGCACTTGCTTGAGCGTTCTCAAAAAGATCTCCAAGGTTTGCATAAGATTTTCAAGGTTTGCGTTTTAATTTTCCACAAAGTGCATTAGTGAACGGTTCACAAAATCCTTTAATTGATCGAGGTTGAGCTACGATCGATTTACCCAGGCTAATGTTAACTCAGCCTTTGACCAATCAGCGCACACGTTTACTTTTTTTATTTTATAAAGCAAATTAAAACACAAAAAATTTCTTGCAATGATAAAGATATTTCTGTGGTGGAATTAATGGAATATATTGCTACACAAAATGTTTCCCATTTACGAGTAGAAATTACTATTTATTTTGATGCACCATGTTTAGTTCTGTGCACTGGAGATGGGCCGCAGCGCCGACTATTTTTACCAGTTCAGAATTGACGAGATGGAGCTGAAAAACTGGAATTTTCACAGCACTAACCATGTTGACTCATGATTTTATTTTCAAAGATCATAAGCATTAAAATTCATCATTTAATTTTTTAGTGAAAATGGTAAAGACAAATTTAGTATTTTCGACTGTTACATTGATCACATTTCTTGGTCTTGCCAAAGGTATTTAACTTCAAATATCCATTTCTTTTTTTTACTTAAATGATTTTTGATGTATTTTTAGTTGTTGTAGTAGTAATATTTAATTAGTTTATTTTTTATTCACAATTTTTGAATAGAACCTGAATTAAGAAAATCAATTACTTTTGTTATGTTAGTAGAAGATGTATTTTTTCCCTAAACTATCTTTTTATCAGTCATAGATATTAGCTAAATTTCAATTTCAGGAACAATAATATCTCCACCTGATGGTCAAAAATTTGTATTTTTGCTTGGATCTTCTCGCAATATAACTTGGACATTAAATAATACTGGAAACTTTGCTTCTCGGAGTTGGACCTTTAGGACATTTGACACTCCTTCTTTAGAAGCTCAACCAATTGTAACAATAACTGATGATGAAGAACCAGATTATCGTACATCAGTCCTTAAGTCTTTTGGTTTAGATGTTGAAGTTTTTAAACCTGCAACTCTAATGTTAAAAAAGGTTAATCAAAGTTACATTGGTGTTTATAAATTTTCTATCGACGCTCCTGATCCCTTTGGCTCATCTGTAAACGTGTCTATTGCAAGTAAGTAGTATTAATTATTTTTAACTTAGCAGCGGGGTTATCCAAGCCTTTCATGTAATCTGAGTAGCTTTAGCATCGGGCGTAATTATACGATATATGACCGCGGTCTGGAATCCTATAGCTAAATACTTGAGCCGTTGAGCGAAGACAAATGCGAAGACTTGTTTTGTTCTGTTTTAATTTAAAAAGGAAATTATAGGGTATCTTTTGATTTGAATAATCTATGTTAAAGTGCTTGTATCACAAATTTTACTACATTTGAGTATAGGACAAAAAATAAGTTATTGATACCACTTTCGATTTTTGTGGTATAAAATTTGATATCAATTGATCAACTGGTAATATCACTATTATGTCTCGCCGAACAAAGAACAGTCTATCCACGCTTACAGATGCTGATGTTAAAAGCTTGATTCTGAAATTGCCCAAAACAGATGAAACCAAAGAAAAAGATATTCCATCAGAAAGATATGCCAAAGATAACGGAAACAAGACGAAAGAAATTGAAAAGTGCATCGAACCTAATGATAAAGAACCAAAAATTCGCGCACACATGGTTGATGTCGAGACATTTGTTTTAACGTTAACCAGCACAGACAAAATTGTTTCAGAAAAGTTAGACATCGTCGATAATGCAAGTAAACTCGACCAAATCCTCAATCGTCTACGTATTTTAGAAGAAAAATCGAAAAACGATGATATCGAAAAAGCCGTCCTTCTAGTCGACAACGCGAAAACGGCAGCCGAGATTGACCATTTGAAATTTTTTATTAGCATGCTAAGAGAACAAAACAATTGAATCTTGTCTCTCCTAGTTAACAATCAAAATGCTTGGATAGATGTCAATCCTAAGAATCAACCCAAGACCAATCAACAAAAACCAACAACTAATCCTCTTCCTCTAGTAAATAGATTTGGAAATCACCACGATAAATCCCAACTGAATGCTTACCGCTGTAAGTAGAAGGAAAAGTTTTTAAAATTAAAAATTGGCAATCCTGATGAAGACAACGAGCAAACTGACAAAAAAATTCAATCTCAACGGAATGCCTACCGCAATAAGCAGAAGAAAAGTTCACAAAATCAAAAATTGACACTCCTAATGACGACCAAGATATAACTGACCAAAAAACCCATAATTATTCAACTGCATCAACTCTTATCATTGGTGACTCAATGTTGAAACATATAGATCCAAAAAAGATCTCCTGGGCAGCGAGATGGAAATCTACCTGCCACTCCTTCAGTGGTGCAAAAGTAAAGGACATCCAGCAAAAAGGCCTGGAGATTCAACAAAATAAATATGGTACTATTATTATTCATGCTGGTACTTATGACTTTATCAATAGTAGGGCTGATGAAGTAACCACAGGTTTAGAAACCTTGATTGTAAGTTCGAAGAAGTTAGCAGGTAAAGATGGAATTTCAAGTGTTGTAAAAAGATTTGATGGCAAGGTTTCCTTAAATAAAATGACTTTTTATAATTCTCTCATCTACAAATTATGCTCTAAACATAATGTTTCTTTTATAAATAACGAAAATATTGGCAAAAATCACTTTAATGGCTCCAATCTCCACTTGAACAAATTGGGAGACCAATTTCTAGGTAGAACTATTTATCGCCACCTTACTCTCCTAATGATTTCTTTTTGCATTTTGAAAAATTAATCAAACAATTTGACGATCAAAATAAAGAATTATATATTCTTGGTGATCTTAACTGCGACATGCTTAAACATGAACCTGATACACCAACAAAGAAAATTATATCTCTATATGAATTGTATCAACTCTCTCAACTCATTAATGAGGCCACGCGAGTAACACTGTCAACCTCCACTCGTATTGATCATGTAATAACTAATAGCGCAGACAATATTTCCCATTCTGGCGTCATAAATAGTGGAATTTCTGACCATAACTTGATATTTGCGGTTAGGAAAATTAACTTCTCAAAAAAAACAAAATGAGAATACATTTGAAATTTGAAACATGAAAAATTTCAATAGTGAAAAATTTATCGAAGATTTAACTTATCAGCAGTTGGAGCACATATTTTATTTTGCTGATAATCCCAACGACATGTGGAATTTATGGAAAACGCTATTTAATGAAGTACTTAATAAACATGCTCCTATACAACATAAGAAAATCAAATCCAAAAATGTACCTTAGGTTACAAGGTACATTAAACAACTTATTATCAGCAAAATTATGGAGAGGATTTTATACGACCAAATTTATGATCACTTAACGAAATTTCACTTACTACGTGACTCCCAATTTGGCTTCCGAAAGCATCATTCAAAAGCTACAGCCTTACTAGATTGTACCAATAGTTGGTATATAAATATTGACAAAAATTATTCAACCTTGTTGTGTTCATTGACTTAAAAAAAGCTTTCGTCACTGTTGATCGTGAAATTTTACTAAATAAATTTAAACTGTATGGCATAAACGGAAATCTTTTATCTTTATTGACATCTTACTTGACAAACCGCACTCAGATATGTCAAATTAATGGAGCTGTTTCATCTAAACAGTTGGTCAAGTGCGGTGTACCTCAAGTTTCTTTATTTGTAAGCACTTTTGTAAAATTGAATTGCAAACTCAACGGCCATTTTTATAGTAAACAAGAACAGCAGGATGACTATTTTCTGTTCTTTGAAAGTTCAGAGTTTCCTCCACTTTATCATAAAGGGCATTACTTGTGCATGGTTTATAAAGTAATGTAGCTATATATAAGCAGTTTGCCGAACGTATTTATTGGTGGGTTGCAACCATCCCCTTGGGAGTAAGAGAAAAATGGAATGCTCGCCATGTTGGATGAAATTTACATTGTAAATAAGGAAAGTCCTTTGTTAAAATTATCCAGCATGGCGACTGTGAGGTAGCTTGCAATCCAAGAATTTACAAAATCACAGAGGCAGACTGCCCTATTAAGACACCCGGAAGTTTCCCGGTGCTCCACGCATTCATATGCTCTTTTGCGTTGGCTCTTTTTCCGGAAAATAGTAAATAAAACACTGGCAAGCCTATTAAAGTACAACAGGGTAAAGATAGTATTGCTACAATGACAAAATGCAAAATCATCAACGTGTATTAGTAAACTTCCCAATTTCTATTGACATTCAGCTTTTTAGTAGTCTACGCTATTTAAAATTGCTTACAATTTGTTAGGTTAAATGCTTTTTTGTTACTTCTAGCATAGTATTTTACGTCAAAACATTTTGTTCAATGGTGCAAGCAAGTGATATGGACTAGCCTAATGCTGGGAACATCATGCAGTTCTCAAAGAACAAAATCCTCAAAATCTTATTTTTCGTTTTATTAGTTATGTAGTTCATTTGAGTTCTCGCCTTAACTTGGTATAGCGAAGTAGCTGTCAATAATTTATACTCGATATAGCAGCACATGCACTTCAGTCCCTCCCCCTACAAATGGCTACTTGCTACAAACAAGCACCCCTTTCTGAGTTTTCCTAGTAAGTCATGAACAGGTCAGTCCACCCTCGCAACACCACAGTATTTGGGTTAGAATTGTAGATAAAAATAGACCAGGGGGTGCAGCGTATATCGTTTGCGGGAACTAAAAAATATTCAAACGATGTGCAACCGTAAATGGTTAACGACATAGCGTGTGCCGGTGTTTTTTCCATAATTCCATATGCCTTCAGCCCCTGCTTCATACTAGTGTTTTAAGATTTAGCGGTTGTTTGGGCCGTCATGTGGCCCATGTTATTGGTGGATTATAAAAGTATGAATTAATTGTGTATTAGCAACTCAGATAAGGAGAGAAGTCAAATGAAATTTTGCGATAATAGGGAGCTTTAGCAAAGACTACGAGTACGATTTACGTCATTTTGGCGCGAAAACATTGTTGCGACAACAAAAACACGTAGCCGTCATCAATCTGAGTACGATGTTTTGTAAAAAATTCGTAGTCGCGACTACGATGTCTTTTTAAGCAAAGAAAGTAGGTATATTTATTTATTCTGTAAGAAATTAGTTTACAGTACTATTTTCAAATCAAGTTTGACATACACAGCACATACAACAATAAATTTTATTCTTTACAGATGCGACATTCCTCTTCCGGTTTTTACCCCTGTCTCACTGACTCTTACAAATAAATACCCTATTGTTTGTATCATGACTATTATTATGATTCTGTCTTTAATTTCAGTTAAACCAACAGTGTCGATTAACTGTTCATCTCCTCTGTTTGTGAATGAAAGTAATGATGTGTCATGTGTATGTAAAGGTGAAGGAGGTAACCCTCCTGCTAATGTCACATGGTTTGATAAAGATGACACAACAGTTCGTGGATTTGGAGTTGAAAGTGCGACTTTAGTAATCACTGGTGCCTCACCAAATGATCGTGGAAGTTACAGGTGTAAAGCTGAAAGTTTTAATGATCCACGTTTCATTGACGAAAGATCCATTGAAATAATAGTAAATTGTAAGTTGCGAACTTATATATTTAGTACTTTTGCAATAAGGTTTTCAAATTGTGAAATACGGAATGCCTTGAGACCCATCTAGTTAAGAGAAGACCATAGTTGGATAGTTAAGAACACCTTTAGTGATCTACTATGGAGCGCCAATCGTAACAAAAATTATTTACAGTTTATATGGTCTCATTTTTAATACAGGGTTAGTGGGGTGTTCGACAACATAAAGAGAGCCTCAAAAATGCGGGGACCTTTAGAAAATTTACAGTCTTAATACTTGAAATATAAACAAATGTACTGGAGAATCCCAAGTGTTTAATATCGCAATGCTCCAGACATACAAAAACCTCCATCATTCGGGAGCAACAATAAAACTTTTAACGTTTGGATATTTCATTCTCAATCTGAATGCTAAATTAACAAGAGCAATAACTTTAACTTTATAAATCAAATTTTCAAAAATTATTATTAATATACATCTTGAAATTTGAGTTATTATTGTTATGTTGTTGTTCTTTTCTAACATCAAAGTCTTTTACAAATGAAATTTTCATTAAGCAAGTTGGTTAATAATGCAGCGGTTTAATCCAAAAATCTCATTGGATAGCAGTTTAGTGGAAAATTTCCACTGATCCGAAATGATATTCTTGGATAAGCGTGTATATAGCTTGTAACTGATCAGTTCATCTGGGCCACGCTTATACATCTTGGATTCCCGTTGTAAGAAAAATATAAACTATAAAATGAAAATTTCAATGGTTACCAAATCAATGGGAAAATTAGACTAAATTGAACTTTCTAATTAGCGTGCTGCCTGCTGGATTTGCCAGGGCAGGACCATGCACACTTACACATCTCGAAGTCCCGTCTGGTCCCGTTGTACCAACTTTTTTCTTTTCTATTGTCCTTTTTTATCGTTGTGAAGCCATGATTAAACAGGAAAGTTTAAAATCTCACTGTCAACGAAGGTAAAAGGACGAATTTTACTCTTTCATTTGTTTTTGTTGATGTTTAATTGTGTGTTTAATTTTCCAAGAGTCTCAATACATTACATGCGATACGAGGGAAACCAAAGCTCAGTATTTCTCACGGAATCATAGATTAATTGTTTTATTATACACTAGGTGCCAAAAAAATGAGTCCAGTTCCAATGTTGGAAAAATTGTGGGAAAAAATGTGTCTTTTGAAATATATATTTACAGTAACCACTTGAAAATGCGCAGTGAGACCTGAAATTATCTCCCACAATTGTTTGGAAGATATTTCACAATATCTAAGCGCATGGGCAGTACATTGGGAAATGGCAAAAGATTTAAGTGAAGGAGTTAGAGGACAAATTGTTGCTCTTACTAACGAAGGTTACTCACAACGAAATGTTGCTGCAAAGCTGGGAGTGTCCAAAGGAGCTGTGCAGCGAACCGTGGAAAGATTTAAAAAGACGCAATGTTATTCCAGCTTACCAAAACCTGGGAGACCACGTATAACAACAAAAAAGAAGATCAGTTCATAAAGCTAAGTTCTTTGCGCAACAGACGAGCAACTGCTAGCAACATTCAATCGTCAATTAACGCCACCCGAGAGAAAGCAATCAGCAAAATAACAGTAAGAAGGAGATTGGCTGCAAGTGGTCTGAACGGAAGAGTAGCAGCTTCCAAGCCGTTGCTTCGCCCGATAAATAAGCGGAAGAGATTCTTATGGGCCAAAAAATACAAGCATTACAGCGTAGACTATTGGAAAAAAGTACTTTTTACTGATGATTCAAAGTTTGAAATACATGGAAATAATCGCCGTGTTTATGTGAGACGAAGATGTGGTGAAAGATTGTCAAGTCAGTGCCTCAAGTCAACCGTGAAGCATGGGGAACATTCAAGTCTGGGGCTGTTTCAGCTTTAGTGGTGTTGGGAGTCTTTACAGAATAAAAGGCAATCTTGACAAAAAGCAATACCATTCTATTCTCTAAAGGCATGCTGTACCATCTGGCGAAAGGTTATGCGAGAGAGGACTTACCTTACTTCAGGATAACGATCCGAAACACAGCTCCGACTTGTGCACAAATTATTTAAGGAACAAAGAAAATCAAGGTGAATTGAAGTTCATGGCATTTCCGCCTCAATCGCCCGATGTTAATCCAATTGAACACTTATGGGATGAGTTAAAAAGAGAAAAAGTGAAACATGATGTAACAAGCCAGGACAGGCTATGGGATGTAATCTCTACATGTTGGCATAATATTGAACCATCTACACTTCAAAATCTTGTTAAATCTATGCCAAAAAAAGTTGAAGCCATTTTGAAAGCTAAGGGAGGACATACCACGTACTGACATTGCTTTTTCGAGAACTTAAAACCTAACATTGTTGTGACAGAGTGGTGATATGGTTCAAAACTAAAAATATGCATTCGCTATTTAGTGGACTCATTTTTTTGGCACCTAGTGTATATAGGAATAAAATTCATAGATTTTCACAGCTTTTCAATGAAATCAACGTCTCTTTCGGTGGAGATTTGTCTGTCGAGATTTTGTTGTAAAATGCTATAAGGCCGAAATGCTTTTTTATGCTATTAAAATCAGCACGCAACAATTTTTCACTTGTTTCCCTGACGAGAAACATTGCGTTTATTTTATCTCATGTGACTACGAATAAACCAATCAAATTTGACATACACAGCACATACAACAATAAATTTTATTCTTTAAAGATGCAACATTCCTCTTCCGGTTTTAACTCCTGTCTCACTGACGCTTACAAATAAATACCCTACTGTTTGTATCATGACTATTATTATGATTCTGTCTTTAATTTCAGTCAAACCAACAGTGTCGATTGGCTGTTCATCTCCTCTGTTTGTGAATGAAAGTGATGGTGTGTCATGTGTATGTAGAGGTGAAGGAGGTAACCCTCCTGCTAGTGTCACATGGTTTGATAAAGATAACAACATAATTGGTGATGTTGGAGTTGTAAGTAAGACATTAGTAATCACTAATGCATCACCAAATGATCGTGGAAATTACACATGTAAAGCTGAAAGTTTTAATGATCCACGTTTCATTGACGAAAAATCCATTGAAATAAGAGTGAATTGTAAGTTGCGAACTTATATATTTAGTACTTTTTGCAATAAGGATTTCAAATTGTGAAATACGTTGAATTTTGACTTTTAAATTTTAGATAAACCAAGAAATACGGACATAATCCTATCAAAAAGTAATCCACAAATTGGTGAAAATGTGACTAAAACCTGCGTATCAGATGGTTTTCCTCTGCCAACCTTCATTATTCATCGTAATAATGATTTTTTCAGCAATGGAACGACGTACACCATTCAATCTGTCAACATCGGTCACAAGGGTGAATATCATTGTATAGCAATGAATAAACTGGGAAATGATTCATCTCCTTTAAAAAAACTCGATGTTCTCACTGATAGTAACGAAGGTAAAATTAAGAACCTCAGTTTATCACTTGTTGGACTTTTATTTTGCATTATGTACGAACTTTCTTGGTAGCAAATGGTGAAAGACCGATTTCTATCTTATTATAATTAGCATTAGACTTCTTGAATGTACTTGAATACCCTTATAACAATAAAATTTCAGTAAACAACGAAGATTGCTCTGATTACATAACTTTTTACTGGCTCGTAAGGTAAACAAAGACTGGCAATGTCTGCATGCTGCATTAACCATAACATTTTTTTCTAAGTATATATATTCTTCAATGACTATCAGTAAAAATATGTTCAACTTATTTGTATTCCCCAGTATAATCATTAAAGTGTTTATAAACGTAATATGCCTAGAGTTCATTAATTTAAATAGATTACTTGGCGTGAATTGCTTAAATGACTAGAATTTCAAACTAGCAAATTTTCACGCATTTCGTGGCACGCATTTCAATATTGAAGGAATTTCAATATTGGAATCATTCTCATTTGAACAAATTTTGTAATTGTGCTAGCTCCTATATCAAGCTCATTCAGTCTATCGCTGTCGATAATTACGTCATCGATGACGTTTACCTTTACGTCATCAATTAGTTCCACTTCCACTAATAACGGTAACTTTTTTAACGTTTTTTTCTTTAATTCTTTAATGTGGAACATCATTTTTGGAGAGTGTGTCTAACCGTTTGTTTTTTAAACTTTTTTATTAATTTATCAATTTACGTATGACCTGACACTAACTTTAGTGTGTATTGTGAATTTTATTTTTTTTAAATATCGCATTGTTTCATTCTGGCTATTTCAAACTATTTGCTAGACCTATTTAAAAAGCTATTGATTAATGTTTAAATTTGGGGTCGTCAAGAAGACTGTATGATAAAATTTATCAAAGTTCACAACTTTTTATTTAAGTTAGCCAAAATACTTCTACAAGCAAAGATAATGGCAACAATAATTCTACAGTTAAAGATGATGATGATGATGGACCAAATATTGCTCTGATTGTTGGCATTGCTGTTTGAGCGGTTTTCCTTGTCGCCATTATGGTTGTTGTCATTTTCTGCTGTCGTATTACTAATTATTAAGTATCTACTTTTGTGTTATGTTTATTGTAGAAAAAGGATACCAGTAAGTGAATTATTCATTTTAATTTTCTTTGTGTAATATGTGATGTTAATGTGTTTTGTGTTTCTCATCTTTTGAATAAAATATTTTCATGGTTTCAGCAAGTTAGAGAAGCTGTTGTTTTCGTACAGTACAAACTGTTGTATTAATGTTATATCTATATTTTCTTCGTTTCGTCCATATCATGTACAAAATTTAATCATGGTTGTTAATGTTGCAGCGGTGAAAATGGTGTTGAACCATTAGCTGGAGCTAATAATGCACAACCCAATCATTATGAAGAGACTGGAGGACTTAGAGAAAATGCTTATGAATCTATTGGTAATCAATATGAAACAGTAAATAATCCATCAACAAGTGATGAAAATAAACCATCAACAAGTAAAGCACCACCACCTGTTTATGCCTCGATGGATAGAGAAAATAGAGAAGGAAATCCGGTTTGTTGTGGATATTTGTCATTTATTATTTAGAAATAAAATTTGTGCATTTATTTTGTTTTAGTTGGATTATGGTGATGATTAATTTGAATGCATCATGTGATTATGCAGGGAGGGTTAAAAACTGCTCGTATGTGAAAGCACCCATATATTTAGAATTATTATTATTTAGCAGTAATTTATTCCTAAAGACCTGTAAACACACTTGAAAACAATACATACGAATTGCTTCATTGAAACTTGATTTTATATTAGACGAGTGTCTCTAATAAACGTTCAGTCTGCAATAGACAAACCCGGCACATTGTCATAATTTAAATTGTTTTATCGATTGGGCTAAGAAACCGTATATTTAGTCTTGACTTTGTTTCTGTTTTGCTCACAATAAGGTGATAGAAATGATGTAAACGTCTCTCTCTATTTCACTACTCGTATCAACTTAACGTCCCTCCCTTTCCTCGAACTGCTATGAAATTTATTTAACGTCACGGGTTTATTAGATCATTTACCATGATTAAAAACTACATATATTTTATTATCATATGTATATATGATAAAGTATATACCAAGTGTATAACAATGTGCCCTCCCGGCTATCACCATAGTGAAATGGTGACTCCTGCACTTGGGACACAGGATGTACGTTTACACATTGTATGGATTGTTTTGTAACCAGAGTGCTCAAACATAATAGAAAAAAACAATGTTTGTAATTACAATATATACGTATTTTTTCTGTAGATTTAAAAGATGTCCCTTAAAAAAACCCGGCTCAAAATCGTCCTGCACCAACTGAATACGCCAGGATTGATATGAGTAAACTAGCACCTGTCGAGAAAAAAGACGACAAGAAAGGTGATGACAAAAAAGGCGATGAAAAGAAGGAATAGTAAGTTTTATCTTTTGGAAAAGATCCACAAAGCTCGACGTAATTCTTTGATGGTTGAAGAAAAAAGTAAAAATTGATTCATTTGTTGAATATTTTTTTAAAAAATGCCGAAAACATGTTTTTCTTTCTCTTATTATGGTAGTTTAATCTTATTATAAATTTCCTTTAGAACTGGCGATCGTCGTTAATAAAACAAGACTACGTAGAGACTGTTACTACATTTATAAAGTTTTATTTTGTTCTTCATTATATAATCTAGATTTGATCTCTAAACAGTATTAAACCGAATACTTTATGATTGTGTCTGTGTACATAATCTTTTGCCATGAACAAACTTGAATCTTGGCATCTATGCTACAGTTTGTGAATGTGTATTTTACTTGCCTTTATAAGGCAACAACATTACACACTGACTTTAACGCAGCGTTTTGAATAGAATATTGTTTTAATCTTAGTTTAACTTTGATTATTTTAATTATCATGGTTAAACCATTTAAACTTTTATTTACATAGAAATTAAGTGTAGAAATTAGATAGAAAAATCAAGCAATGTCAAGGAGTGTGATGGAAAACTCTTTAAATTGCTTCTTTACGATTGAATCATTTCATATGCATTAGTGTAAGGGATGTTTACGAATAAAACAATTTCGTGATCATTATTATATTTTTGCTTCTTTATTTTCGTGTCTACTGTAGATGTGAGATTTGACCTACCCTCAAAGACAAACTAACATTGAGTGGCTTTGTTTCAGCAAGCTTGGGCGGTAATAGCAATTTTTTAATTTAAAAATTTCTAGGAAGACAGCAAACTGCAATTTAAAACAATTCAGTGAACAAAATTTTAACGTGTGAGTCACTGCATAATGGATAGTGCTATCCTTGCTTCGTGTAAACAATGCTTCAATTCCATAAACATCAATGGTAGTTTTCAGCAAACAAATATCTCAATTATGCTCATCAGTGGACAATATTCACAGCCGTTCCATCAATTGCAGAAATGTTTGGTATTTGTGACCAATAACAAAAACTTCAATTCTGTGCATCTATGTTTTTTCCACAAATGATTTAATTTTGATGTAGCAATATCCAATTGATAAATTTAGGTTCAATAATAACTCCACCTGGTTAGTCAAAGATTTCTATTTTTACCTGAATCTTCTCACAATATAACTTGGAGATTTAATGTTACCTCATCCATAATTGCACGTGTTTGGTCCTTTATCCCTCGTAGTTCTACTGCTGCACAACGACTTGCAACGATAACTGGTAATGGTGAACCGCGATATGATTCACCACCTTTAGCATTTCAAGTTTTTAAACCTGCAACTCTGATGTTAAAGAATGTCGATCAAACAGCGGTGTTTACACATTTACTGTCGTAGCTAATACTGCTGACACACAAAGAAAGTAAATGTGTATATTCCCTGTAAGTTTTTATTTTGGTGTTTTTTGTCTGATGAGTAGTCTGCCGAAATGCATAGTGTCTTTCAGCTTTAAAAACAGTTCTTTTAGAATTGTTTGGTTAGTGTTCTGCTTTCAACAGTTCTTTTAAGAACTATTGCGTTATTATTTTAACCATTCACCATGGTATTTGCTCTTTTTTAAACAATTTTAACTTCTAATATACCCGATTAAAAAGAGCAAAGTCGTCTGACGTCATCCATGTACAGTCCTTTGCAAAACAGAATTTTGCAGTCCAACCATCTGAATTAAATTTGCTTGGGTTGAAGTGGTAAAAGTTAAAGGACAACTTGGTTATTTGTCATTTGATTCACTGTTTAACGAAATCAAAAATTTCTCAGTGATGCATGCCCCCTGGGACTCGTCAAGAACATTCTCAATCTAGTCACGTTTGGTATTTTCAGCTAAAGACTGCAGGATAAGATCATTGGTAAGATAGATAGGGTTAGCAGGGGGGCGGATCAAGCTTTCCCAGGGCCCCTGGCGATTCCAAAGTCCCCCCCCCCTCCTAACTGGAATTCTTTGTAGACAAAATATAAGAAATTTTAAATTGTGCATTAAAATTGTGAAAATTACTAAGAATATTTCAGCAAAAGCGATTTATACAGATGTTATTTTTCACAATGATTTTCTTACAAATCCACTTGTGGATGCTCACCGTCTTCAAGAGCATTGTAATCAACTAGGAAATGGATATTGGCACAGCGTGTCGAAGTATGCTTTCATAATTTATACATTCATCTAAAAACACCATTAAGTCATATGTAAGGATGAAATTACAGAATAAAGATTGTGTGGCTGGTATTCTGTTTTTAAAACAACTCTGGGCAATTTGTGTGGCTTGTCATGAGAAAGGTTTTGATAAAATATGATCGCTCTGTTACATATGACAGCGTTGTCACGGCGTTTACATTCTTTTCATTACTTATATAAATATTTGCACAACTTGAGACCCGGAAATAAAGTGAAATAAGGAAAATTAGCTGGTTTATTTAAGAAATACGAGAAGATTTTTCACAAGCTTAGTTACTTCAGTACTGTTTAAGGTAAAGTGAATCATTTAAAATGTTATCAAATATTGACTGTTCAGTTCATTTGTAAATAATTTTATTGACATTTCACGGAATTTCCTGTGGAATTAAGAGTTGTCTGAGATGTATCATAGTGGAAAGTACGTTAGTACACTTTTGCAAACTACAACACGATGTATAAACACAATGTTTTCGAACGAAACTTTTGTAAGTTTTTACTGATGCTCTTGTTTCCTTCAATATTGATTATAGGAAATCAAAAATATACATAAAATATGAAGGAATACATCATATATTACTGCATAGTAGTTCTGTGGTTTGACTTAAGTCATATCTTCATCTTAACTCTTATAGACAGAATACAAGATGGCAAAGTTTGGTTTCCTGTCATTTGTTTTGTTCAAGTGGATTTTAAGTTGTCAAGGTATTTATTAATTTTATTGACTATTAAGGGAGTAAATGTTTGTATTTGTGAAATAAAAAAAGTGGAATTTGCTTAGAAATTTAAGCTAAATTGACTGAAAAAGTCTTAAGTCTGCATTATGTGTACAAAATAATCATTGCAGTTCTGCATTGAATGAAATAATTTAAAAGCAATACCTTGCAGTATTTTAGAAGACAAAGAATGTTCTTTACATTCTATAAATATTTGCACATAATGGCTTTTTAGCAGAGAAGTAAGAATATTTCATTCATACTAAGGCAGCAAACATTTTTTGTGGTAAAATTAAAATATTAATAGCCCTGTGCTTGTACAATAATGACAAATGTGTTTCACCATTATAAAATATGTTACTTTATGTGGCTATAGTGCAATCATAAGTCTAAATTATATTTATATGCCAGCTATAATTTATCATTTGATGCTCATACCAATGTGTGAACAATTTTTAAATGCTGATGACTGCACTCACATATACCAACACACTAAATCTTCTGTTAATTGGAAATTGACCTCAATCATTCAGTTTGATATTCTTTTTCCATTAAGTTTTCAAAATCCACCACTTTTTGGGATTTAAAAATTTTAGTTACTTCTGTAGTATTGCTTATTTTTTATTGTAAGTAAAAGATCACATTTGGTCTTGATGTTGTCACACATTTTCCAATCATTCAGCTCAATTTTAATTTAATGGAAAAAACTTGCTTATCTCTTTAAAAAACTTTTTTATCAATTTCACAATTTTGGGGGGGAATCCGGGACTGTAGGGTTTTCTTAATTTCTCTCAAATACATTACAGTTGGAAACTGGTTGCTGTTTTTTTATACCAGGTCAGAGTAATGTTTATCTTTTTCAGTTTTGATCAATAAGGCTCTTACAGATACATGTAGACAGGTACTTGTTACAGCATTTGCCATGTGATTGCCGGCTTAGAATTGCGCCAACGTATCCTCTGCGTGTCGTAAAAGACGACTAAAAGGGGTTGGTGTAAGGAAGGGCATCCTACCGTAAAACTTTTGCTCCAACAAAATTCATGAACTTTGGAAAAGAGGATATGGCCCCCAGTCCCCGGCAGCCCTTCAGTGGGCAGGGGGTGCGAAGAATCTCTGGATCGAATGTTGGTGGAAGTGTCACCCTTCGGGTAAGCACAGTGAACGTTGGGACAATGAAGGGAAGGAGTGCAGAAGTGGCGGACATGTTGAATGAAGGAATTGATGTGTGTGGAAGGTAAAAGGTGAAGGTAAAGGGTGAAGATAATGGAGCGAGATTTAAGTGGTTTTGGAAGGGAAACGGAAGTGGCACGAATGGTGTTGGCTTTGCGATAAGAGAGGATTGGGCGAAGTCGGTTGTAGCAGTGAAGAGAGTTTCGGACAGAGTCCTGAGAGTTGATGTAGTTATTGAGGTCGAAGTTGTGAGTTTCGTTGTGGTGTATGCTCCGCAGGTTGGACGAAGTGCGGAGGAGAAGGAAAAGTTCTACGACAGCGTATGCAGTGAGCAGACATTAGAGGGCGATGTGTGATGCTTGGTGATTGGAACGGTCATGTGGAAGCGTAAAAAGGATACTGTGCGCATGGTGGTTTTGGAGTTGGTGATATGAATGCTGAAGGCGAGGCGATATTGGAGTTAGCAGCGAGTTGTGGGATGGTGGTAGTGAATACGTGGTTTATAAAGGAAGAAAGCAAGCTTGTGACGTATGAATCTGGTGACAGTAGGACGGTGGTGGATTATACTGGAATGAAAAGAGAGGAAAACGTAAAGGATGCAAAGTGATTGCAGGAGAAGAATGTGACGCAAGCTGCTGGTCATGGACTGGAGAATCAGGAAGGAAGAGGAGAAAGGTTGAGGGTAAAGGCAGGCTGGCGGAAGTTACTGATCGAATGAAGGAAGCAGTGTTTCCGTGACGAAATTGCGACATTGAATGTTGAGGTGAGACGGTGGAGGACGATGACGCTGGAGAAGGGTAAAGGCAGCGGAGAAGTATGGAAAGTAAAGGCGGTGTAAGAAGAACAGGCATGGTGGTGGATCAACGAGTCAGCGAAGTGATTGGCGCGAAGAAGTTGGCATTTAAAAAGTTGGAGAAAGTCGCGGACTGAAGCAGATAGGATCGATTACATCCGGTTCAAGAAAAGGCGCGAAAGGAGGTGGCTAAAACGATAGAAAGCAGCATCAGAAAGAGCTCGTAAAATGCAGGAGAAAGGACGAAAAGGTTTAGAACGGCTAGAAGGAGCAAGAAGGAGAGGAACGATATTTGGGGCTCCTGGCGTGCAGAACCACGATGGGGAGTTGAAGGTGTTATTGGAAGACAGGTTAGAAGTGTGGAGGGCGTACTGTGACCGTTTGATGAATGTAGAATGAGTGGAATGGAGAAGTTGAAGCGGATGAAGTTTTGGGGCCGGAAATAGTGACTGTTGATGAGGTGGCGGCGGCTCTGCAAGATGAAGTGAAAGGAAAGGCGACGGGACCGAGTGAAGTGGGTAGCGAAATGTTGGACAATAAACTATGAGAGTTGTGTAATGTAGCGAACGAGGTTTTGAGGGCTCAAAGATGCCGAGTACATGGAGAAAGAGTGGTCCCGCTGTACAAAGGAAAAGGGCAGCGACGGTATGGAATTACAGGACTATTAAGCTGATGGGCATGCGTTGAAGATAGTAGAGAAGTGGAAAGAAGGTTGAGGAAGTTGTTCGGATGGGGAAGAGCAGTATGGAGGGGAAGGAAGACGGATGGTGAGTGTGGAGGAAGGAGAAAGGAGAACAGTTGTATATGGTGTTTGTAGATTTGGAGAAGGCGTTTGATAGAGTTCCGAGAAAGGTGATCGAATACGCGCTGCGTAAGAAAGGTGTGACAGAGAATATGGTTCGGGCAGTTATGGAGACTTATGAAGGTGTAGAGGCGGTGGTTACGGAGGAAGGTGTTAGATCTGGTGTTTTGAGGTAAAGTTGTGTTCATCAAGGTTCAGTCTTGTCGCCGTTACTGTTTGCTTGTGTGATGGATGTACTGACAGAGGGAAGTGAGAAGAGGGATGCTGGTGTTTGTTGTATGCAGATGACATTGTCTTGGTGGCGGAGTCGAAGCGAAAGTCATGGAATGGTACCGAGAATGGAAAACGGCAATAGAAGTCAAGGACTGAAAGTGAATGAGGCAAAGACGAAGGGCAGATGCTCGAGGAAGGTGGAGGAAGGACAGTGATAAATGGCCATGTGTGGTGGAAAGAGTGGAATGATAATGGAATGGGAAATGCAGGAAGGATAAATGTCCATTGACAAGAACTGATTTTGAGTGCGGGACGGTCGAAGTGGTGGGCGAGGCGCGATTGAACGGTTTGAACTGGGTGACGTGAGTTTGGAAGGTGTATCGGAGTTTAAATATCTGGGCGATGTGTTAAATGATGGTGGAGGTGCGAGCAAGCGGTGAGGAACAGAGTTCAAGCAGCGTGGTGGAGTTTTAGAGTTGTCGGGAATGTTGTGCGGAAAGTCGACTTCGTTGAAGCAGAAGGGAGAATTGTATAAGGCATGTGTTAGAAGTGTTTTGGGATATGGAGCAGAGTGTTGGGCGCCGAAAGCAGAGGACCTGAGGAGATTGGCGTCAACGGAAAGGAGAATGCTTAGGATGATGTGTGGTGTAACGTTGATGGATAGGATTCGAAGTGAAGAGATTAGAGAAAGAGTTGGTGTTGAGTGTATCGAGAATTGGGTAAGGCGCCAGCGTTTGAGGTGGTTTGTGCATGTGGAAAGGAGGGAAGAAAGTGCTGAAATTCGTAGAACGTTGTATATGAATGTTCATGGAGTCCGCAAACGAGGTAGACCGAGAAAGAGATGGATGGATGCTGTGAACAGTGATATGAAGGCGATGGGTATAACGAGAAGTATGGCGAGAGATAGAAACGTTTGGCGTGGAAAAATTCATGGACCGGTCAACCCCCCTGGCGGGGATTAATACTGGCCGGTATACAAATGTTGTTTGTTTGTTTGTTTGTACTTGTTACAGCATCCTCTGCTACTGACCTCTCAGCGTTGAGCTTAACAGTTAAAATCTTTTCTTGCTTTTTCTTCTAATTACTTCTGTAGTATTTTAGTTACTTCTGTAGTATTTTGCTTATTTTTTATTGTAAGTAAAAGATCACATTTGGTCTTGATGTTGTCACACATTTTCCAATCATTCAGCTCAATTTTAATTTAATGGAAAAAAACTTGCTTATCTCTTTAAAAAACTTTTTTATCAATTTCACAATTTTGGGGGGGAATCCGGGACTGTAGGGTTTTCTTAATTTCTCTCAAATACATTACAGTTGGAAACTGGTTGCTGTTTTTTTATACCAGGTCAGAGTAATGTTTATCTTTTTTCAGTTTTGATCAATAAGGTTCTTACAGATACACATATAGATGTACTTGTTACAGCATCCTCTGCTACTGACCTCTCAGCGTTGAGCTTAACAGTTAAAACCTTTTCTTGCTTTTCCCTCTATGTCTTTATTCATGACCACCATACACATCCACAATAGCTACCTCCCAGGTTATACTTTTCATTCTGGACTTCATGAATGGATTTCATGAAAAAGAAATAATGCAAAATTATTGTTATTGTTAATTTTTGACTTAGTTTTTTAACTTATTTTGGTTATTAAGAAATTAAATAACCTTTGAACTTAAGTAGAGATGTTTTCGTAAAATTTCTTATGAACTTCTCGTATAGTTTTATGTACGTTGAATAAACATTTGATTTATATTCAAAATCATTTGTACGTATTACGTACCTATTTTTATTCAATTATCTTCATTTCTTGTCATAGGAGTAATTCAATCACCTCCCCCTGGAACAAGTTTTACATTTCTACCTGGAGAAACACACAATATAACGTGGACATTTAATGATAATGAAAGTGATTTGCAATTTAGAAATTGGCAATTCACTGGTAGTAATGATGGTTCACCAAAAGCACTTTTGGCCACTGTCATTGAAAACTCTAATGTACTAAAGACCAGTGCACCAATTCTTCCAAATTATGACGTCTACAAACCTTCAACGCTGCAATTAAGAAATATCACTCATAGTTATGATGGAACTTATGAGTTTGAATTTAGAAGAAAAGATGGTATTGCTTTTATATCTACAGTCAGAGTTTTTGTTGCAAGTAAGTCATCCCTATTTTTTATTAGCTATTTAACATTTTTATCAGTTAGGAATTTATATTGCTCATTTGAAGATTAACCAAATTACAGTATGTTTTATGTCGACCATTTTTGACCATTCTTGATACGTTTGTGTTTTCAACTTTTTTATTTACTTAAAGATTAGAAATATTTTTTAACATTTGTTTCCAGCCAATCATTTTTTGCGACGTTATAGCCATTATCTAAAGATTTTCTAAATGAGCTATGGAATCGTCAAAACCAGTTATGTTTGTATCATCAGCAAACAATCTAGGTTTTGTTTTTGACGGACATCTTTGATGTCTAAAGCGAGAGTTTTTATTGCAACTTTGTCTAATTTTTGTGTTTTTGCATTTTTACCATTTTTAGAAATTTATATTTCTCATTTGAAAATTAATAAAACTACAATATGATTTATATCAAACATTTTATACGAACGAGAATTCTTTTGACAGTAAACATGTTTTTGATAGCCTATAACGACGTATTCAGCGTGATGAGAGTTGTCACCTTTCTGTTACTCGATTACTCAAATTTGCCCGATTATACTGCAATTTGTCTTCCTATTTTTAGTGAAACCAACTATTATCATGACTAATTTAAGTGAAAAATATTTTTTACTTTTAACTTCAGTGAAACCAAATGTGGTAATTAATTGTTCAAATCCTTTGGTTGTGAATGAAGGTGATAATGTGTCATGTGTATGTAGAGGTGAAGGAGGTAACCCTCCTGCTAATGTCACATGGTTTGATAAAGATAACAACATAATTGGTGATGTTGGAGTTGTAAGTAATACATTAGTAATCACTAATGTTGCAGTGAATGATGGTGGAAGAATTTACAAATGTGAAGCACAAAGTTATGATGATACAGATTATAGAGATGAAAAATCCATTGAAATACAAGTAAAGCCTATATGTAAGTTTGTAAGACACCATTTCAGATCGTATTATAAACGTTTACAGAATATTGAATTTTGTTAATTCTATACAGATCCACCACAACAAACCAATATTACCATCAGTCCAATGTCAGTAAAAAAAGGTCAAAATGTGATAATAACCTGTGAATCAGATGGTTATCCTGAACCAACCTACACTATTTATCATAACGGTGCAGTTATCAGTAATAATAAGATATACATCATTCAATCTGTCAACTTCAATAACGCTGGTTCATATCGTTGTGAAGCAAAAAATAAACTGGGAAATGATTCATCTGATGTTAAAAATCTTACTATCATCAGAGGTAGAATTAAAATTTTACTTCATCAATTTTTGGGCTAGTCTTCTACATTGTACATGAACAAATTACGACTGTTCAGTTTCATCCCATTTGTACACGATAGTACAAGATTGTGCTGAACAATGAAAATAGTTATATATTTTTCTTTGTTGGCGAGATTTAGATTCTTTGTGCTGAAAGACTACCACTGCCAATTATGATTGACACTTAAGCCAACACCTCATATGCCCCTTTTTCTGCCTGCTGCGCTGACGTATGCATCTTTCGTCACCTAGCTGTTAACTTTGCCTATTGCATATCGTCATTAAATAGGTTATCAAAAGCCTTAGACGACTATGATTTGTTTATAGTTCTTTGAAGACCAACGATAGTTGTTTAGGCTTCATAATAAGTCAATATTATTTATATCTAGTCGGTCACGCCATATACTTTCAAAATTTCAAAATTTATTATTAATATACATCTTGAAAGTTGAGTGATTATTGTTATTTTGTTGTTCTTTTGCAACATCAAAGTCTTTTTTACAAAGAAGATTTTCATTAAGGCAATTGGTTAATAATGCAGCGGTTTAATGCAAAAATCACATTGGATAGCAGTTTAGTGAAAAATTTCCACTGATGTGGACTTTTAGCGAGTGATGAGCGGGCTTACTGCTGGCTTGTGACTTTTTAGGGCATCGATCCAACACTCCTAAGAAAATACACCTAACACTGACGACTACTCTCATTATTAATTTTCTTTTTCATAATTAAATTAAGAAAGGAATATTTTCTGTTTTTAATTTCAGTGAAACCAAATGTGGTAATTAATTGTTCAACACCTCTGGTTGTGAATGAAAGTGATAATGTATCATGTGTATGTAGAGGTGAAGGAGGTATCCCTCCTGCTAATGTCACATGGTTTGATAAAGATAACAACATACTTGGTGATGTTGGAGTTGTAAGTAAGACATTAGTAATCACTAATGTTACATTGAATGATGGTGGAAATTACAGATGTAAAGCACAGAGTTATAATGATCCACGTTTTACAAATGAAAAATCTATTGAAGTAACAGTGAAAGCTACTTTGTAAGTCTTTTATAGCATTCTCTAGCCACACAATGCAATTAACATCTCGACCTTTTCCTTAGACTTAATGGAAATGTTCAATTCAATCTATCCAATGCTCAATCAAAATGCTCCAATCTTGTTATCATATGTATATTAGTATTGTATACAGATGAACTCTTTTGATTTTTTTCCATATTTTTAAGTTCTATGCTTCTTCTCTAGACAACGTTCTTTGTGATGACCAAAAAGAGAGAATAAAACAGTGCAAAACAGAATGGTACATTATTTTAATAACTTTAACATCTGGAATTATCGTTGGAATTTTGGTTTCTATTGTTTTTCAATATCGCCGACATTTGTTTTGTAAAAATTGTCAACAATTTCAATCTCCATCTGAAGTTAGGAAAAATTCTGTTGATACAACTTATCAAGAATTGGATTTATCAAAAATTAATAATAAAGAAGATAATTATCAATCATTGAGACCAAAGGATGACACAATTGATAAAACTTATCAAGAACTGGACATATCGAAAATGAATAAAGAAGACAATTATCAATCATTGAGACCAAAGGATGACACAGTTGATACAACTTATCAAGAACTGGACATATCGAAAAGGAATATCGAAAATGATAATTATGAATCTTTGCAAAAAAAATAATGAATCGGAGTACGAGATAGCCGACGAAAGAAGAAATTATGAGAACAGTAATTTGTTTTCAAGAAAATCATAAATTTATTCTAAACATATGTTTATAAACATTTTCCATGTTGTAAAGTCACAATGGCGCTTTTACGAACATTTTCTGATAAGATTTGAATTTTGCATCTTTTCCTCCCTTTGGAGCTGCCAATACTTTATGATTCCCAGAAGGAAGCCATTTTTGGATGAGAAAATACACTGGTCATTCTGACTCATTCATTAGTTGTTTTTGATAACAGTGTAAGGTAATACTGTTTTTGAATGAGTATTTTCCATTTATCTTACTATACACCTGTCTTCCTGACTTGTTTCCTGTGTATACCAAATTGTTTAGAACAGGATCACGAAGAGGCTCTGGAAAAGCACGAAATCTTATTTCTGATGAACCTAAATCGTAAATTTCAAAATTTGTCTTTGATTAGGGAATGCCTTGAGACCCATCTAGTTAAGAGATGACCATAGTTGGATAGTTAAGAACACCTTTAGTGATCTACTATGGAGCGCCAATCGTAACAAAAATTGTTTACAGTTTGTACGGTTTCGTTTTTAATACAGGGTTAGTGGGGTGTTCGACAACACAAAGAGAGCCTCAAAAATGCGGGGACCTTTACAAAATTTACAGTCTTAATACTTCAAATATAAACAAATGTACTGGAGAATCCCAACTGTTTGATATCGCAATGCTCCAGACATACAAAAACCTCCATCATCCGGGAGTAACAATAAAACTTTTAACGTTTTGATATTTCATTCTCAATCTGAATGCTAAAACAACAAGAGCAATAACTTTAACTTTATAAATCAAAATTTCAAAATTATTATTAATATACATCTTGAAATTTGAGTTATTATTGTTATGTTGTTGTTTCCAACATCAAAGTCTTTTTACAAATGAAATTTTCATTAAGCAAGTTGGTTAATAATGCAGCGGTTTAATCCAAAATCTCATTGGATAGCAGTTCAGTGGAAAATTTCCACTGATCCGAAATGATATTGATGGATAAACGTGTATATAGCTTGTAGCTGATCAGTTCAGCTGGGCCACGCTTATACATCTCGGATTCCCGTTGTAAGAAAAATATAAACTATATAATGAAAATTTCAATGGTTGCCAAATCAATGGGAAAATTAGACTAATCTGAATTTTCTAATTAGCGTGCTGCCTGCTGGATTTGCCAGGGCAGGACCATGCACACTTACACATCTCGAAGTCCCGTCTGGTCTCGTTGCACCAACTTTTTTCTTTTCTATTGTTCTTTTTTATCGTTGTGAAGCCATGATTAAACAGGAAAGTTTAAAATCTCACTGTCAACGAAGGTAAAAGGACGAATTTTACTCTTTCGTTTGTTTTTGTTGATCAAATATCATTCTTTTTTTTGTATTTCATGTCATGTTCATCTTAAAAATAATAATGGTTTTCACCAAAGTTGCTTGACTATGTATACTTTCTATTTAATAGATAATGATCTTGAATGTATTGATCCATAATTAGGCCGGTACAAACTGAACAATGTTTTTAATTTGATTTATTTACAGTTAGTTTAACGGTAAATATAAGTCGTAGATACATCTGTTGCATTTTCATCTCTTTTGACTTCATGATTTTAGTTGATGTAAGAACGAGTTGATTTCTGTGTATTTAGCATTTGTCGTTTGATTTTTTGCCATAACCTGTGAATTTGTTTAACAACTGTATCTCCGAATTCGGTAATTTTTTATTGATTTTAGTAAGTTTTGGAGCTTGGCTTGGTAATTTACTTTCAGAAAGTCTGCTCACGGTGGGGCACACTGATTAAATACATCTATTTTATTCAATGTATTTTGGTTCAATGATCACCACTTAGCATTCCAGTTATATCATTTCAATAAAAATACGCCATTGAATTACCATAGTGAATATATTGAGTGAATATATGCACAGAAATATGAAATACGCCCATTAAAACTGCATAATCAACAACGACATCACGTACGTCAAACGTTGCGAAGCAGGAAATTGAGTCTTTCTGAAATTCTCACGGAAGAAAACCAAATTACATGGGTATGTTACATTTTGCTGTATTTTTAGTGGAATAGCGTACTTGTCCTTGTTGTCTTGAATGAAAATATTGTTTTGCTGTAAAGTTTTGGCGTAAATATTCATGTAATTCGACAGGCGCTATTGAAACGAATCTCTCATCGAGAATTCTTGGTCCGAACAAAAATTAGCCAATACTAAAATTGTGTTTGTGAAGGAAGACAAATTTTAGTCTGAATTCGAGAAAATCTTTAATAATATGGTACACACACAAGTGTATACGTTAAATACAACAGCTTTTGGTATTGATATGCTTTGATGAAGATCTCTTTACCTTAACGTCGCTTTAAAGAAAGCTTTTTAAGAATTTTGATGCATTTTGAATTTCATAATTTTAAAAGACCAAGACGAAACACTACATTACATACTAAATGAGTATGTTGGGTTTCATTTCTTCTTTCATTCTTGAAAATATTTTTGGACTTCCTGTTGTATTGTTTAGTAAGGGGGTATTTATTTGAATCCGGAATGACTTTCGATCCGGAATGAACTCATTCCATTTCAAAAGAAATTCTCTTGTATCTTTACATGAATCCGGAATAAGACAACTCGATCGGGATCGAGTTCAATCCTATTTTCATTCCGGATTGAAACTTAGTTTTAATCTCATGTAAACGCGAATTGAGTTTCATTCTGAAATAATATTATGATTAATGACGAAGCACGCATGCGCCAGCGTAGTGTCTTCTGGCAAATTTAAGATCGTGAGCAAATAAGGCGGCTAAATGGGCTAAAATGAGTGCGAAGAAAAGCAACAATTAGTTTCATGCAAGTGTTAAGCTATATCAACGCAGGAGCAACAGAAAAAAAGGGTTGTTGTAATGTTTATGTTCGCCATCTTCAAATTTCGAAATTCCCGCGAAAT